GAGGTAAAATGCCGTTTCTTCGTGTACAAATATTTGGCCCCAAAAGGGATCCCCGATAGTCAGAATGAACCACATTGCCTGGGTGGCATACGATGAACATATTGCGAAAGTAAATACGCGGTCGTTTAGAAAAACTAACCAGCACGCCAATTCAACAGTCGCGAAAGATGGAGTTCATCGTGTGTCAAATAGCAGGGTGGATGCAGGGATTCTGACTTGCACGTGATTACAGTAAGTGGGCTAACTTACGAAATGTCAACCGAAATTGCGAAATGCGTTTTCGTTTCGAAAAGATTAATCCGGTAGGGTTGTAAAACTAATCATCATGCAGTATAATTTTATAATAATTCAGTTACCCCAGGATGCCGGCTTTCGAAAGACCTTCCTTTCGGCTGCATGCAAAAACGATACTCTGTAAATAGTAATTACATACGTGGCATGCAGTTTTCTCATCGATTTTCGATGTCTCTAAAAGTCCAATCATATTTCATGGAAAACATGTACAAAACTATTTATTCTTCGCGCTTCCATAGAAAATTAGATCATTTTTCAAACTTATACCTGGAGGAGGGTGATAATTCGGTTTTAAAAAGTTTCTAATCATGAGACTTTTTAATACCGTGAAATGGCCGTTCATAAAACGTCATATCTCTACATTTACCAATGTGGCTTGTAAAGTTAATAATATGGATCAAATCCAATACTACATTTTATGAACTCCATATGGTCTCCTCTTAATACCGTAGAGAAATATGTGGTTTTCCGTACGCGGAAAATAGATAACTTGTAGTTTGGAAACCCTGAATCCAAGTGTGACGGCAACGTGGGTTCAAAATTATTCGGGAATTGGAGAGGTTTTTGAAAACTGGATTATGTCCCTCCTTCGAGTATAAAATTAGAAGAAGGCGCAGTTTTCTACCGAATGAGCGGGAGATCGAATAGGTTCATTCGTGTTTTCCATGAAATATAATTGTACTTTTAGAGACATCGAAAATCGATGAGAAAAATGCATGCCACTTAAGTAGCAATTTTTTACAAAATATGGTTTTTGTCTGCAGCCGGAAGGTAGTTCATTCGAAAGCCGGCTGCCTGAGGTAACTGAAAGATTATAGAATAATGCTAAAAACTCTTTAGTTTTACAACCCAACCTAGTTAATTTTTTCGAAATGAGAACGCAATTCGGAATTTCGGTTGACATTTCATGAGTTAGCCAATCTACTGTACAGATATGCGCCGCACTTCCATCGTCTGCAGCCTTCTGGGTCTGGGGTAATATCGAGTCAATACGATCGAATACGGGATCAGGCGCGAGAGACTGACAAAGCGAAACAGCCTGCTTATGCATGCCACACACACACGTTTGGTCCCCAAAGCCATGCTGCACATTGTTAAAGAAACCAGGGTCGGTATGGATTGCATTTAAGTTGAATTGTCAGAGGAGCTATTGCAACTTAACTCTCCGTCCCGAGAAGAGGATCTAGATGCTCTGTCAGGTGGCTGCCTTCAAAGCCATGTCTCTTAATGCATGTTGATATTCAGATTGGCAAAATTGAGATATTTGATGAGATTATTTGATGAAGAAGATGGGCTCACCGGAAGATGTTCACTTAAGTGCTGGCGTTTTGAAGAGCTTTGTCGGCTCTTCATTGTCAAAGCGTAAAATGCACTTAATTCACCAGAAATTCCAAGTGGCGTGTCACGTTGGTCGGCCTCGTGCTGAACGATTTTCCTCTCCTCTCACTGCCTCGACCTCTTGGGGGATGTTTGACGGACGCTTTGTCTGCGGGCTTTAAGAACCACTACTCCTTCGGAGGAGGTGATTGAAGCAGTGTCGGGTGGTCGGTTTGGCAATTGTTGTTCTTCTCCACCGAGTAAACTCGCCGTCAGACTGTCTCTGTATGGCCTTCTTAAATCCGGTGTGGTTGTTTGGTCCTGAGCTCTACGATTGTGATGACGCAGGACCTTGTAAGCTACAGGAAGGTTCAGACGCCTATTGATGGAGTGGGCATCGGAGAACCACGCCTCGAGAGTTAGCCGTTCTACATCTGTGTTGCCCCGCCTGATATATTAAAAGCATGTCAGATTGTCGATAGTGAGGAAATGCGCCGAAGTGCCGTGGCGGCGGAGTTCTTTGAGTCGATCTCAGTCTCTTCCCTATCCCAGATACCAGTTCAATTTCCGAGGCAATCGGTTATCCGATGTGGGATTTGGACATACGTGGCCAGCGCGGCGCGAACACGCATCTAGGCGTGCGGCCACATCCCAACCTGTGACGTTGGCTGTAATATGCCCGAAACATGTGCAGCCCGGTTAACCCCGTCCTGGTCCAACGCATCTTATTGCGGCACGTTATAGGGCAAACGACTGTTCACAGTGATTCTTCGTTAAATCACAACAGGACAGTACGTCTGGTTGGCTAACCTCATTGAAAGCAATGGAGACATACGCGGAGAGACCTGGAAAAACTTAAAAGACAAAAAATGAGCAGATCAAACTGTGAATTCGCAGGCTGCATCTGAGGAAGGAATGGGGATGCATGGCAATCCGAATCTGCAATCCCCGTGATTATTTGTCAGTGCGTCCGGCGTAAAGGAACACATACAGAAGGGTGTTACGCTGAAGTTCCGACCTATACATTCACCTTCATATAACTGGCTCCAATCGTAGCCAGTATGATTAGAGACTAGATCTGTCGGAAGCATCGGAAGTTGAAATTCGCGTCCAAATGGGAAATTAGAGGAAACAGAGCATTATAAGTTTCTGTCAATTCGATTCATTAGGTCAAATGCATCTTGAGTAGTTCTAAACTGAAATATGTTGTTTGGTTGTTGAACGGATATACGGCAAGAGGACAGTTGTTAGAACTGGTCAGAAGTTTGCTTAGAAAACTAGGTGGTTCATTTCTAGCCATGAGATTAACGCGCTCAGAATTTTAAGGACGTCCGCTATATTGTTGACTAGGTCAAAGTCAGAAAGTCATTATCAAGGCTACGAATCCCGCGTCTTTATTTGTCAATTTTGGTTAAAATTATGGTCTATCAAGCTTAAATGGGGAAATTTCTTAGTTCATTACCGGCTTTCACGATATCTACTTGTTGACTCGTTCCAACCCCTGCGAAAACTTTTTTCTCCGTTATTTTTTGTCGGGTAACAACTGTCGATTGGAGTTTTTTAGCATAAGGTAACCAAAAGCAATTCAAAGGTTTATATTTTGGTTTGCCCCTGTTTGTTCACGGCATAAATAATTCCGCTCTTTCTTAATACTTCAAATGTCTAGGAAACTGTCTAGAAAACGATCAGTCACGTGAGCCAAACGCGATTTGAAAAGGTTTGCTTCCAGATCGGCATCTATTAGGAATTTGTTATCTAATTCATAAGATGACGGTGAAATTATCAATAGATTTCCAAGATAAATAAATCATTGTATTGACCAGCCGTCTTCCGTTTTCCAGTTTCCGATGGTTAGGCTTCTGTGTTCTCACTGCTTCCGAGTCTTGTGCTGGTAATTAAAAAATTTTCATAGGCCGGGCCTTACGATTGTTGTAACACTGGACTCCAGCTAGATGTTTTAAAATCGTGTCTCCCACTCTGTGACGAAAATTTGATCGGAACCTTAGGAGCAGTTGACCTGCAAAATCACCTGCGTTTTTCTGCTTGAACCAACTTTTATGTTCCTGTGTTTTCGACTTCCGCACTTTAAGTAACATTATACGCAACGTTTCTTTGTCATGCTCCTCAGTCATGGAATAAAACCACCACGTAAAAAGTGTACCTCACCAATCAGAGGTTCGATTTGCGTTTATAACTGTTCTCTGCAGACCAATGAGAATTCCCCCAACAGACTTCACAGGAATGGTGGATTCATTTGAAGGTCTCCTCTTTGAGGCTGCATCTAACCCTCTATACCAAAGACTGTCTGACATTCTTTATGAAGGATTCCCCTTCAGAACGCAGATGTAAATGATTCGGGAAAGAGCAGTAATTTGTAATCCAATAGTTGCAGTATTTTGATTTGTACTTTGATAGAAGTGAGTTATGCCTATAAAGATTCTGCAGCCTACGCTGCCCCCAAATCCGGAATTCCAAATTATCTGAAATTTTGACTGTCTGACTGGGGTACTTGCGATAACGGCACTTAATCATTAAATGAAATAATATTCGCCCAAATATCCCCGTAACACAAGATCCACCCATGCTGGGCGCCGCAAGTCATGGAAGAATAAAGAAACGACAGAACCTAAAAAGAATGCATACCTTGGTAAATATATTAATATTTACTAAGATGGAAATCATAAATTCTCGCGGAAAATCAAAACTTCAACAAAAGATTCTATTAAACTCACTTAAATAAAACTAATTATAACGGCGCATAAGGAAGATATTCGCATGGAAATGAGGAAGTAATAAAAACTAATGATACCAAAATCATTACTTATGCCTGGGTTATATAATACATTATACTTGATAGGAAGACTACCAGCTAAACGTCCAGAAGCATGTTTTGCGTATATTCTGCCTCTGCATGACACAACTACGAGGGTTTCGGCTCACCGATGTCCCCCCTTAACGTTCTCCGTTGGCTTTCTGGTAGATGACTTATTTTTAAAACTAAATTTTTATTTCCCTCAGAAATCAATCGTTAACTAGGGGTAAATCAGCTCGAATTAGAATTTCTCGTCTGTCACACGCGGGGCACTCAGATTGTCTATAGTGGTTTGTTCAGTGAGAGCATTAGCACACAATCAAGCTTTCCTTTTGTTGAAGGATTGATCTTTGCCTTTTGTCACATCCCTTTGACAAGCGCAAAAAGATTTTCGATAGGAGTGAGGTCTGCGCTGTTGTCAAGAATAAGAGTAGATTAGAGGATGTCGTTTGTTTAAAACTTAGGTTACAGTTGCCAAGGCTATCGGATGCGTGCCTTCCTAGAACGATTAAGAGGATCATTATTCTGTAAAATTATGGCACCTATTCAGCGTCGGTGAAGGCTGTTTTAGCTGAAAGTATCCCTCGCACCAGTAATGAACATCTCCTCGTTGCTGGTGTCCCTTGTCGACTGCCAGACTGGTCGTTCTCTGAACTTGATGACGATCCAAACCATCAACAGTTCTTGAAGGTTGCAGTCAGCGCAGTGTATTCTTTCGGGACTATATTTCCGCATATAACCATCTGGACCGACTTCATAGGCCTTTTTTTAAAAAATAAGACCTCATTGTTGAAGTAATCGCCCTTTCAGAATATTGCCTGTCTTAGGGCAAACTTTTTCTGATTGCTTTAAATCTGGTATTTCAAGATACGCATTGCGAAAGTAATCGGTAATCGGGGATTTGCATCTATTTTCCAGTCGAGTGAATCGCGAATTACCGTCACTTTTGTGCAGTTAACTGGTTGCGGTCTCCCGATAATGAAATATTTGTTTTAACAGAAGAGAGCCCTCGCAGTTTACTGGCCAAACTACGCGCCAGACGATTAATTCTCGAGAGGCAGAAACTTGAACTTGTTCGACGCCTGCGAATAATGACATCTCGGCATGTTTCCGCCAGAAACCACGGTAAGAATATAAAAGGGTAACTTGTTTTTCGCATTATCGCAGCTGCTTCTCTGTTTTGAGGCCACAGTGAAGATTGCTGATTTTATTCCTAACCGTCTGTAGCCGCTGTTCGACCTCTCGAAGCCTGCATACGAATTTGCCTAACTCCACATATAAGTTTAAGTTTTTTCAAGTAAATATCACCTACAGCAGAGTTCATAAAAGTCAAGGTACTTCTGCGTCGCATGTATTGAAATGGATATCCATGTATTCTATTTATTAATACCTTGATTAAACAGATTTCAGCTGGTACACACTAACTGAAAAGTTCGTGTTTGTTAAGTGAGTGAGGAATAATGGGCTTTATTCTGAAGCCAGTATTCTATAACTTCAAGCAAATCGCCTTGCGATTTCCACGGCTAACATGGGAATTAACAGACTTCCTGAAGATGAAGATGCGATCACTGGAACAAGAAATTTTTTTACCTGACGTTTCGGATTCTCACTCGAATCCATCATCAGAGACATTCGCAGATAAAGGCGATGGTGGCACCAGGAGTGCAGCATTTATAGCACGGGGCTGCCGTGGGATCGTATATATTCGAATGAGAATTCGAAACGTTAGGCAAATAAATTTCTTGTTCCAGTGATCGCATCTTCATCTTCTGCACTGCTACCTGGAACTCGCCTGTTCGCTTCTATCACCAGACTTCCTGAAAAAAAAGGTTGGCATTAACGGTATAATTACTGTGGGAATGGGACTAGTCTCAGTTACATCAGAAATCGTGATAGATATGGTGCAACTTGTTGATGCTTCGTTAGGAGATATGACGTAAACGCCGTCGCGTTGGGGTGGAATGAATTAGCAACATCATCAAACGCCGCACTAATAAATGTCGTGAAACGTCTTTTACGCGTCTTTCGTTAGCGTAACTGGAAAATTAGGAGGAGAGATGCATATGTGGGAGAAACTGAGCATCCAAAAATTGCGAAATCAAGGACTGCAGTACGTAACGCTTACGAATTTTATCTTTAAAAAAGATTAGATATGAGGGGAGAATCTGCGATTGAAGACGTTAACACAGAGATACCAGAGAGAGAAAAGAAACCTTGTCGGGAGAATGCCAAAGGACTCAGGGATGGGCGATGGTTGCAGTCAAAAGTCAAGTAGTATGTGACTCAAATCATGATAGATGCCATAATTTGCGGAACACTGACAATCACTCGAAAATCGACCCAAATGAATGGACCACAATTTCACATTGATATTTGCCCTTTTTGGGGCGAACCTAAGACATAAAGGAAATATTAAAAATTGTATTGCGTTGTTTATAAATACCGGTAAAAACGGAACCTCACAGTAGCGTCAAAAAGCGTTGTAAATAAGTAAACTTGTGTTTCAGATGTATAGAAAGCCTGTCCATACAAAATGCCAAGGAAATAAACAGAAAAAATTAAAGAACGTCCAAAAATCATTTTTAGTGAACTGCTTAATTAAATGTACTTCAAGAATCAATGTGATGCCAAGAATGACGATTAGCCAGCTGCCCATACTTTAAGTATGGATTCCAAAACGGTTTTGTAGAAATTGGCTGTATTTTTCCATTGTCATATTGTTCGGGCGGCGATTGGCTGAGGCAAACAGGAATGATGTGATTTCGCTGTTAGGAACGTCAAAGGAATAAAAGTTTTCATAAAGTCACATTCTGACGCTCCGATCAGGAACTGATTAATTTAAATAGAGTTGACAAGTGCAGTCGAAAACATGTCGTTTTGTGCATATTATTACAACCTTTCTTCCGTGAAAATTATTTTCATGTTTTTCTCTGGTGCTGGAGCACGTTAAGATTACGATCGTCCTTATAAGAATATTGAAGCAACTACTTGCCATGAAGGTTGATTCTGTGGTATGTGTTTATCAAAACCCGTAAAATAACATATTTTCTGAATGCATTTACCGAAGAAGTTGGTGCGTACGCATTCATTCTAATTCCGATAGCCGTTGGGGTAATATGCGTATAGCACACAGAAGTGAGACCACATCGCCGTGGAAATCGGACGTCCACAAAGAGGGTCGGCAGTGAATATCCCCTGGACCAGTAAAAAAATTTCTCCAATAAGCTACCACTCTAAAAAGCGTCTTAATAATCTAGTTCGGTGATGTATGCAATGCAGAGTAGAAGCAGAGTAAAAATTGGAACGCTTGATCGGTCTTTTTATTTTCATGAGAAAAACAGCCTAGCAGGCTGTTCTGTTCTCGCACATATAATCGATACGAACCACCACGCCGACGCTAAAGAAGCCTTTAAAGTTACAGTGAGTGACCGATCTCATGAAATGTCGGCCAAAATTCTGAAATACGTTTTCGACTGGGAAGGATTACTAAGGCGCGGTTGTATTGCTGATTACATTGCGGTGTAACTCTATAATATTTCGGACTCGGCAGTATGTCAGCTTTTGAATACACTGCCGTCTCATCTCCTATATAAAAACCGAAATTAGTAAAAAATGACTACTTAAGTAGCATGCAGTTTCCTCATTGATTTTCGATGGCCTTTTAAACTGAAATATACTCTATAGAAACCACGAAAAAAATATGCTTTCTTTTAGTCCTATTTTATGCTCAAAAAGGAATATAATTAGGTTTTAAAACAGTTCTCTGATTGCCGAATAATTTAGAGCCTGATCAGCGGTTGCATTAGCGCCTAACGATTTAAGTCTGCAAGCTGCATGCCTTCCGGGTAAGGAAAATCATACATTCTTCCATGCCTTTAAGAAAATGCCATATTGAGTTTATAAAATCTTGCAATGGATGCGGACTACGTTGTAAATTTCACGAGGAGCAGTGGTAAACGGACAGGTACCAATAGACAGGTATGACTAGACATTTTACGGTCTAAAAAATAGCATAAGTAGAAACTTTTTGAAAACCTAATTATACTCTTTCTTTGAGTATAAAATATGAATTTGGCGTGATTTTCTATTAAACGAGTGGAAGAAAGAATATTTTTGCCCATGTTTCTTAAAAAATATATTTACATTTATATGACTATCGAAAATCACTGTGAAAAATGCATGCTTCTTAAGTAGTCATATTTCTTCAAACACGGTTTCTACGGGAGATTGAAAAAGGATTAATTTAAAAGCCGATATCCTGCCGATTCCAAAATATTATAGGATTGTGCCGCAGGATAATCACTATTACAACCACAGTCGAAGCAGTGGCCATTCGACTAGCGAACCCAGCACTCTGTTGTCAAAAGACGTTGACACAAGCAGACGGTCTGCCCTGGCCGACTCTAGGCGGTGATAGCACGCCGTCCCGACGCCCTGAGTGCTGTCACACGCCCTTACAGCGCTTACAATCATTCCCCTCTTCCACTCCAAATCCACCGTCCTCACCACGCTGATTTCGTCCTGCGGGCGGTGTGGGAACACGGAGTCTGATTAATCCTGCCCCTGAAACGCATATATATCCTGTCTACAACTAGAATGATCATTACTCACGTAAATGTACAGGCCTGATGATGGGTGACCGAAAACATACGTTTGCCAACTGACCCTTCAAACAGCGGTTTCCCAGCTACTAACAAAAGAGCTTGCTTTCCTCTTTATATCGGGGGCGTTTTTGCAATTTTTGTTTACTTTAAGGCCCCGATCTTTGAGTGTAAATACAGGACAGAGGGACCATACAATTACTAGGACATTACTAAAACTCCTCATTTTCTGTCCGTCTCGTTCATGGATTACGCGTTAGCAAAAACAAGATCATACACGAAATATCTTAAAAGTTAAGCAAAAGCGCTTTATGAGGTACCTTTTCGCGGTTAGTTATGGGTTATTCTCAAATGATAGGAAGATATCAGAACGTTTACCCGAAGGATCGCCTGTTGGCGTTATTATTGGGTCTTAGGGCACAAAGTCAGACAGATTTGCCAAGCTGACTTTTCAAGGCCGATAAGAAGTCTGGTTTTCTAAAAATATCCTGATTGCTTACATTCCGCCTCATCTGATTAACACGGAGAAAAAAAACAACTTTCAAGTGCAGCAAATTCCATCTGGCAACACTCTTGACTTCAGATTACTCTTCTCTCGCTGAAAAACACGCGCAAATGTTCAAACGTAGTATAGGACGGCTACTAGAATAGGAAAATACCAGACTGCAAGGTGACGTAGATTTCCTGCCAAAATTCGTGAACATCTTGCCTGATAAAATCATCTGTCAGCGTATTCTGCATGAGAAATTTTATATTGATTGAAGAGCGAGACGAATAAATAACATGTGCAACATTTCAAATGCCTAAAATTGGTCGTTTCATCAGGTTCCATAAGTTGGGGCGCACATTCTACCGAATACACCTTACGCTATATTCCCAGAGGGCTGTGGATTCTCGGGTTCCTCCTCTATCTCCAACTTTAAACCTCCTATCCTGAAGTCTAACCCAAATAATAGCCCTAGCCGCAATCTTATCCTAAGTCAGTCCTAACTTGGAATTCGGCACAAAACCGCATGTAATACGAGGGGGTTACTTATAACCGCGACCCTCCGAAGGCCGTTTCTCAACGATCAAAGTGAGACATGATTAAGGCTATCCTTAAGAGGCCGAAGATCAGCATCATTTTTGGCAGGGCGATCAGTGACTGCATCATAACCGACCGTCCACTACCACTGTTCGTGAAAATTAACTGTTATTTCAGCAGACATTTCGCATAAGTACTGTGCAGTACATACGTTTGCGAAATTGGGAAACTGATGGAAGCATCTCATGTCGTCCCACACACCCCGCCAAAATGGATTGTAAGTCAATTAATACCCGTTTTGCAAGGGGGGACCCAGGTAAGTAGCGATTTGAGGGAATATATTAAATGTATTAAAGCGGTCAGGCGATTTCCGCCATTGCGTGCTGACTAGCGGTTCCGTCCATGAATTTGACTTTGATCCTCGAGGACTGGTTCGGCTGCATCACTTTTTATTCACAGGTATTGTCACCGACTAGTTTTCAGACACTGACGGGCTTTTGTGCCTATGAAGATGTGCTCAGTTAGGCAGAGATGGGAGTTCCGATGTGATGATTTGAGGAGAAATGGCCGATCGGCACATGACTGAACTACTGGCATTTGGGAGAGCATTGTCAAAGCGTAAAATTCACAAAATTGAGCAAAAGTTTTAAAGTCTCGCCAAGTTAGTTGACTTTGAGCCAATTTACTTTCCCCTTTCATCCGCTGCCTCGGTCATTTAGCCAAATGTTTGACAGGTGTGATGACTGTTCATAATGTTAGCCGTCGCCCCAATGACAAATAGTTATTTCGCTGTGATTTTTTTCGGTCTCCTGTTTCTTGTCGAGTGAGTTCGTTTTCGAGAGACGCTTGACTTGTTTTCTTACGTGCTAGATGGCCATCTCCTCCTGACACTTGTGTTGATAATAATAGAGGACTTTGTAAGCCCAACGAACGTCAAAAGACCTGTTGATAGACCCGGCATCCGAAAACTGCACCACATGCTGAAGTCTCTCTGTCCTTGAGGTGCATCAGTCGCTCCCTGAAGGTCAAAAGTACGACGAGGAAATTCCTCGCTTACGGGATTCGTGAGATCTAGAATTTGCTGGCACACAAACTCTATCTTTATTTACGACTCTGCCAGAATCCCCGGCAACGCTGATGTGAAAAAGACCCCACAATCTCCGTCGGCTGGATTATTAGACTACTAAATAATTGCCAACTGTTACTGAAAATGACCGTTTTGGATGGCAGAGAGGGCTCGGTTATGAGGTCAGTAGCATCAAACTCTGTCCCATATAAATAAGGTGCTAGGGACTGCGGTCGGCCGCAGTACCAGTCCCGCCCGCCGTCTTTTTCAACACCACGCGGTGTCAACAAGACTGCTCACCATCGCTGCGTGCGAACCCGAGGATACTGTGCTTACGTCGCAACCCACATCCAGACAACCACAGCCCTTCTTGCCTAATGTACTGCTATGCAAAGCTTGGATACAAGGCATTTGAACTTTCTACTGACACAAAGCGTAACCCTGTGGACGGGCGTAGCATCTTTTGCACTCTTTCTTTCCCCTATCCACCTGACATTGCTCACAAAAACCGAAAACAGGCACGCACGACCCAACACAGTTAGAGTACTCCCACAAGGACCACCCAAACCAGTAACTCAAAGTTTTCCGTACGTAGTAGCCTCCGTCCATTCCTGCCACCGAGGCTTGAGCAGTTGATTGTGGCATTTGAGACACCAATTATCACCAGCTTTTATAAGGTCCCTGGCGTAGCATTTTAAAACGCGCTACGAATATTTTGAGTTTTCACTCAGTTAATTTTTATTAATTTTAATGATTGGCTACGAAATAACCTGAGGGTAATATGTAATTCACACGGGCCACATCGTGCCGAGCAATATTCAATGGCTTTAAAGAAATCGAAGCTGCCATAGGAACAAATTTTGATAGAACAGTAAAATGCAGTAGGCAAACCTGCCGCAGTCATTCACACCTCTGCCCAAACCTCGCGTTGATCCGTTCGACAGCGATGACTGCTGTCTCGGTGATGACGCAGTCGTGACTTGTGCCTGAATTTGTTTGTCACAGAACCAACTTGCGCAGCATCTAGCTCACATTCTATTCTTACAGCGCCACTTTGCGTTAGGAAAGCGACGCCAGACCGACTACAGTTGAACGCAGACCCATTGACTGAGGAGATACATTCACGCATTCCATCTTCGCCCTGCCGTGATAGCCGCATCCGAAGCATTCTTTACTGCGTTCGCATCCGACCCAAGTGAGAGGAGTCACAATATATATTTCGCCCGCTGCCCTGTTTAACTGCGGAGACCGCAGGCGTTGGAGCGGGAGTAAGGGACTTTGAGAAGTTGTCAAGTTCCACTCTCCCGGGACTTCCGCCTAATTGTAGGTCTCTTCAAAGAAAAGGATATCTATGGCCTCTTAAATCAACTCTGCCTGCTCACATCAAAGAGGACTTCAGATTGGGCGCGAGGTGAATATACGGAATGCTGTTCACTACGTGCAGTCTTTTGGGATCAAGCCAATCATTCTATTTGCCTAAATCAGTTTGATTTCAAATGAACGCAGAAAAAACCTGTTATCACTTCAATCTGACTCGTCACTCATTTCAGTAGACACATGTAACTGACTGACAGAGCACCATTTCCGCATTCCTTGAAAAACTTCTGTCTTTCTGAGTCAAGAAGCCCTTGCGTACTGGCCGAACGCCACAATCTTAATTCGATAGTGCCATTTTAGCCGAAGAATAATTCTTCTCTCTTGTTTCCAGCAGCTTCAGTTGCCTCTTCCGAACAAACGACTTTCACACTCACCTTCCCTACTCTTTTTCAGCTCGCGATGAATGGAAACAACGGTACTATCAGGCCAAGAAAATTACGCCGCTAGTCGACTGGGAACTTCAAAAGACACAGGGCCAATTGGACCTTTTGTTGAGACGTACTGCGGGTCTCATTCAACAGCCAGGAACTCAAACAGTCAGACAGGTAAGATACTCACTGCAACTGAAGTCTGTTTGTCTCACAGACGTCGATGACCAAACCGATAAAAAGGACTGTTTGCTTAAAGCGACATTTAGGCCCGGCAGTACACGTCGCAAAGAAGTAGGACATCCCCAACAAATCTTTTTGCCCGCTAATGGCTATTTTTATACTTTCTGTCCCTTTTCCCGGCTATAATTCCAAATAACGATTTTCTGGGTACAGTGATGAGTTCCTCATTAAGAGAGAGAGAGAGAAAAAAAATGCTTTATTTTGAAAGTGTCATTCCAAATGTTTGCCAAAAAGGCTTTATTCACCATGGCCAGAAAATAAATCCACGAAGCAGCAGCCAAAATTTTTGCATAAAAGTGAAAATCTATCATGTGGACACCTCGAGTCGCAATTTTTGTACTTCTCTCTCTTTATACGTAAGGTACCCTGCTAGAAATGGTAATACGGGACGCTGATATGCCGATTTACGGCAAAAGATATGTCGGAAGCCTCGGTTCACGTGGTGGAAAGACGTCGTAGCAATTAAAATAGCCTGAAGGGGATGGACAACATCATCCAGAATCCGATCCGCGAACTGCCCGACCATTAAGAAGTGTCGTTATATTGTCATATCAATTAAAACGACATACGAACCACCAGTAGTAGAAAAGAGCATTCAGAGGACACGTTTCGAAGTCGGAATATATTTTTTAAGCAAAGTAGGAATAATAAAAGGAGAACAATAAGGAGTGAGGGGGATTGAGGCGTGTGATAGGAACGTAAATGGTAATTGTAACAAAGTAGATTACGAATTTTATAGAAATGGATCTCGATATGAAGGGAGAATGAAAGATTTTATGCCAGAGTAACATCAAGGTGCCGGAAAGAGGATGCCCGTTGGGAAGAATGTCCAAAAATTCAGGACTGGGAGAGGGTTGCTGTCGGACAAAACACTGGAGCGATTTCCGATTATTCAGTAGGAGACCTTTTTTCAATCACCATGCTGGGAAATTGGGTTTCCTTGCATTGAGGCATCAAATGGGAGTGTTTTACGCCTCAACAGTTATTACATTTCTTCTGTAGAAACCAGGCCAGGGAAAGGTGATGTTTTCGGTGCATGTTCTGTTATTCCTACTGGTAAAATAAGTTATGAAACTCCTTGATTCGAAACAATCAGCAGTGCATGGTAAAACAGCGGTTATGTCTGTGAAAAGGTTTGTCGCAACTTTATGGATTATTGCAAACACCAGACAGCGTTAATTTGAATACGCGTTTGTATTTTCCCACAGACTGATGAGACTAGTAAGTCAATTAAGCAGTTATAACACATCCATCGCCAGTTTAATTTCTCGTTCCGACGCTCATCTCGTTAAACCATTTGATTACTGACTACTCATCATTTTACGATTAGCGCGCATAAAAGCGGTAAAGTTATTCTCTGTAAATCGCATATGGCTAGATCGGGTAGAGAGTCCTTCCGTTCTGAGATTGCATCAAAAGGATCAGCATGACTGTTTCCTTTCTTTAAACACGCATCTATTGTGTTCGCTACCAACCGGCTGGTGAATTGAAATCACTGCGTGAAGGAATGCTCCCAGTTGCGTTTCGTCTGTGTACTATTAGCTCCAACTGACATGAAGGCCAAATTAATCACAGGGGAGGCTGATCCGTGGGCTGCAACAATACGCCTGACATTTGAATACTCGCTGGCGTTAATAAATGCTGACCTGAGTGGAATTCCGGTGAAAATGACGGCGAGGAGGGGAATTCGCTGCTGCTGCTGCTGCTGCTGCTGCTGCTGCTGTTTTTTTTAGTACATGATCTCTTACGATCTTCCCCATGCAAAATGGGGCAGTAAATTTGCATGGATTACCACCTAGTGAGTGATCGGCAAACAGCGCAAGACAGCCGCGTCAAATTGTAAACTTGTAAAAACGTTTTTGGAATAAGTAGAAGGGTGAATCGATTTCACAAAAGGACATGAAAAGCTTTGCCCATAGTAGCGAGTTCTTCTGCGTAGGTAACGCATCAATGATTCTTTAAAGTTTATGCTGCCAGCTTTTGAGCTTTTATTCGAGAGCCGTGCTATCCACTCTAATTTACCAATCGGTTTTTACTGACTCTAGAAACTAGATACATGAGGTTGTTCGTCTCACCTACGGTGCTTAATAGAACTTTTATAAGGAAGTTATGTCTTGAATGTAATCTCGGGGGTCGTTAAAGCGACCGAGATTCACTAATATTGGACGACCGAGTTGTAAAAATGACTCTACCTTCATAGAAAGAATAAATTCTTATGATCTGGACAATGAGTTTGAAAATGAGGCCATTCACAGTAGAAATTTCGGCCAGCTAAACAATATTGGTGGACGGCGAATTTGTCCTACACAGGGGGTAATCACAAAAGACTTTTATTGACGGAAGACGGAGCAAATGATGATGCTGTAAAGAGGGAAAACTTTTTATAAAAGCAGATTTAGAAAATATGGCGAAGTGACCCTTTTTAGATCTGCAATACAAACAGTTAATGTCGTTAACGACTTTGTTGTAAAAAGACCCCAATTATGCGGAAAGTGTTTCCTCGGAAAATTTAACCACAGATATTACTGTGTTTTATTTAAACGATGTCATAAATCTTTACCTGGTAGTTAGGTCATTAGCCGAATTCGTTGCTTCAGACTACCCAGTTCACTTTGATTCGTGCGTTTTGTTTTTCGGAAGATCTGCCCTAGGTAGGAAACCCTAGGATAATCGAAAATTGTAGTTGATTTCCTAAATTGAATCTCCCAGTGTTTACAACATTACCAGACCGTCTAGGCAGTTATAGGGGTCATCTGAACTAACAAACAGCCGAGGTAACTCTCCTTGATGTCTTTTCTTCAGTCCTCTCCTGCACTGTTCATGGAAGTGAGCTAGTGAAAACACTATTTGCAATTGTAGAAGGTATCCGCAGCACATGGCATTCCCAATTCGTCACCCAGCGTAGCCTAATTTCTCTGGCCGAACAAGAACCGATGATTGTAATGTAGTATGGTCGCTCGCTTGGATACACTACACTTTCTGGACAGTCCGACCGTCGCGAATGCCGATGTCCATCATTTCACCCACATCGTGGTGGGTGCAAGGTAGGGACCTGCACGTAAATTAATTTGTAGCAGCATCCGCCGTACTCTCTCCCTTCTCACCCCCCTGACCCAGGACAAAGTAAGGACGATCGGAGACAGGATCGGATGCAATGCGTTACGGTGCTGAACGCCTCGTTTAGGCGTGCTAAACACAACTTGGTCCGCGAACAGTGGATGGGTTTTTCAAAAAAAAGAGGGCGAGGTTTGGCCCTGCAGCCCCTGCAGCTCAATAAAATAATCTTAGTTGACATACCAATGGTAGGGGGGCGCTCACCGACCGTTCTTACGGAACTCACTCGTTCCGTTGTGCCTTACGGGCTCTCTCTCTCTGGAGCCCAACCAGCAGCCGCACAGCGGCGGATGATATAGGCAGCATGTTATTACCGACAGTAGTTAGTGGCCCAGTGGTTAGAGGCGTGGACTTCTAACTAGCAGGTCGCGAGTGCGAGCCTCGGGTGTTCCACACTCCGGGGTTGGGTATGACTGGCTGACGACGGGTGATAAGCCAGAAATGGCCATTCCTGTCTCCCTTGTCTTTGTCGGCAATAACACACTAACACACCAATCTTAGTCACTCGTTGGATTAGGAAGGGAAAGAGGGCGCAAGCAGGGCTCAAAGCACGCGCAGGGAAGCGAGTGCGCACCGATACTTGGTTGGGTCGAAGGTGACATGTGTACACTCTCTCCGGGACACAGCCTATCGCTTGATTAAGGGGGGTAGGGAGGCGCAATCATAACTCGATGGCCACAGTGGGACCCGCCTGTTGATTCGCAGCGTATCGCTACTATATCGGGACCGACGGTCGTCGAATTCGTCCGAACAATCCCGTTAGCAAGCCTACTTAGCCTCTTGCTGGATTAAGGCAGTAAAGAAAGCGCAAGCAGTGTTCGAAGCGCGAGCAGGGAAGCGCGAATGAACTGAGAAAGACGTATATGGACCCCCTCACACAGTCACTCGCTGCATTAAAAGAGTAGGAAAGACGCAAACACGTGACGTATGTAAAATTAGCGGAATCGCATCTACTAAAATTGCTTAAAAAGCTAGTGGGACTGCAGAACCAGACCTCGCGGGATTAATAGAGGCCATGTTAGGTAGGAGCCTCCGTCTGAGAGGAGGACTGAGTTATCCTGTCCTCCAAAACCTCCAAGTTACGGCTTTGAAGACGTCGTGACAGTCTGAAAATGCGTCAGTTTGTTTGTAGTGAGGAATAAGTGCTGATATGTGGTTGGGGCGGCATCCCTAGTTGAATTCGTTCGTTCTCCTCTATTGTACACCAGTTGACTGCCTGAGTCTGCCAGCTAGCTGGTGATGAATAGGAATTATTGGCTGGCGCAACCACGATAGTCCGTCTACGTGATTTGGCCAATCACAGTCAGGTGGCCAAGTCATCAACCGGGGCACAACAGGACACACCGGCCCAAAATCACCATGCGCAATAAGGTCCTGAAACTCAAGCATAAATTAAATCCTGAGAAGCAGTCTCGGCTACTGTATTGCATGCCGTGTCAAAACTGTCCTTTTAAATGCAAAGATCAGACTGGACGCATGCTAGATTTGCGCATACACGAAAATAAGCTGGCTGTGCGACGAGGCGACGAAATATCACAAGTGGCTGCCCATACTTGCGAAGTGGGTCATGAGTTTAAATTTGCAGCCACTAATCTAATGGCCCATGCTGGAAACAAAACAGTCCGGGAAGCCTGGGTCTCGGATGCGGGCCCGGTTAATCGATTTATCGATCTGACACCGGCGTACAGAGCCCTGTGGAGTCACCACCAGTCTTGCGACATCGATCGATGATTGGCTAGCGCGCACTATGAGTGTCGCTCAGTTTTTCATTGCTGCCATCTCTGACGATGGACACCCGAACGACTCCGAAAATTCAGAACAATAAACAGACTCTTCCGGTGCTTGACCAGTCTTCTTCTGTACTTATGTTTAAAACCTGCTTGAAATATGCATGTTCTGTCGGGTCACGTTGGGCGAGTTTGTCTCTGGCCTGGGATACGTGGACTTAGCGCGACGCGATTTAGTGAAGTGGTCTAGTTCGCGGTGTTTTACCGCAGATCCTAATGACCGAATTAGCCCATGCGGTGGCTGTTTGTGGACAGATTCCGCAGTTGAGACGGGTGCGGCTAGTCCGTGTTGATTTTCATGGCAATGGTTCGCCACGGTCTTAGAAGGCAATGGTATATTCCATGTCTAGCTCCATCACTCACCTCGAACTGGAGAACAGACATTTTTGGTCGCGCATCAACTTTCATTTCGTCTACGGGATCTCAACTTCTCTATTGCGTCCACCGCATTCAAAGTTGCAATATGTAAAGGTAGGGGGCTCGTGGCCCAGTGGTTAGAGGCGCGGACTTCTAACTAACAGGTTGCAAATTCGAGCCTCGAGTGTTCCACACTCCTGGGTTGGGTATGACTGACTGGCGACTGCTAATAAGTCAGAAATTGTCATTCCAGTCTCTCTTGTCTTTGTCGGTAATGCCATTCTGTTGCAAAATGTCCTAACGAATATATTTCGCAAATCGGCAAAATCTGTGTACACCCACTGTTCAGTTTCATCGGACATTTCATATTTCACTTGTTTCAAACAAACTGTCCTACTGATGCGTGTCTCCGAAGGCTACAATCATAGCCCGTAATTTGTCAACTTAACATAATAAACGCAACGACCAATTTGCACTTTTGCGTCTCGTTCGTACTTCCTTCCTATGCCTGAAACTATTTTTGGTCTTTGAGGACGCATTGCCATTGGGCAGTTAGGCTTGCCACGACCTTGAGTCGTCCGAATTCAGATAGGGCTGCTTGGAAATTGTCAAGTTACACTACCTGCCTAAATGCCTACTTTATCTTGACTTATTTCAACCCAGTTTGCGGAAAAATGCAATGAGAACTATTGTATGCCCTCTAATCTGAAAATAACCTGTTCAGTTGACTGCCTCTTTTTAAAGTCGTTTTGTAATTATATGCCCTATATTAAAAGAGCAAATAGGAACTTCATGGGCATTGTCCATTACTCTTAAGTATACTGAACTGACGGCCAATTTTTGTCGAACTAACAAATTTAACACTTTTATTCTAAACGAATTAACGTCCGAAGAAAGCGAGCATTTAAGGCGTTTGGCAATAACAGCATGCAAGCAAATGATGCTGTTTGTAGGGCCAAGAAATGTTCATTCAGATAGCTGTTTATCAAGCATACAGCATAGTTTTAAAATATTATTATATTTTGCGGTGTTTTTATTGGGTATCTTCTTAGTAGTATAGGGGAACAAGTGACTTTCCTTACGTGGAAGGCTTACAGCTTGTAGCTTATAAACTTCAAACGCAACCACTGCGGAAGATCGGACGCAAAATTATTGAAGAACTGGAGCACTTTTTAAAACTTAATAATACCATGCGTATAAACACAACATTTGAAGGCCTAATTTGCTACCAGATGAGCATGGGCACGGATATTTTGTGCATTTTTTCATAAAATATATTTGATTTCATAAGGGCCTTGTAATTCAATAAAACGCCATACTAATTAGGTAGTTATTTGTTGCTAAGTTCGGCTTTTTCATGCAGCCGAAAGAAGTACATTCAAAAGCGGGAATCTTGAAGTGATCGAAATATTTTGAAATTGTACTGAATGATAATCAATACTGCAACCCCACTTAGGTAATCCTTCCCAGTCGTGAGCAGATTTCATAATTTTAGTTAACAATCTGTGGGATCTCTCACTTTTACCCTGTTATTTAAGGTAATTTATTTACTAAAAATCCGCAAGAACTTCTGTTAGAAGGTTGCTGGGATATCTGAATTTTTGACACATGCTATATAACACACCTGACAAACGCGAGTTCAATATATTCACTTGATCATGTTTCAGTTCAATATCAGGTCACTTGAAGACCTTCACTTTCGAAACCATGACGCATTAACTTGTCTTCAAAAATATCTACGTATTGCCTCACGAGCCTTATTCTGACAGAAAACTGCATTCTTGCTAATTAAAATACTCTAATTTGACCCAACTGCGAGACCTGCAGATAACTCAGCGGAATTCGAATCTATGAAAACAAGTGGACGGCTTGATTACAGCCAAAGTCGAGGCCGAAGTCATAGTCAGTATAGGTGCGTTTCGGAGTACGCGTCATTAGACCATAATTTCTTCACCCCTTGTTCGACCTAATATCCTTCTCCTCAAAACTTTGTTCACTGGCTGTTTTCCAATTTCGCTGCTCTTCCGACACATGTTGTTGCACTGGCTTGTTAGTGAAAAACCAAAAAAGCACGTCTGCCGACTGTGTCGTTTGTACTTGCCACTCCGTTGCAAATCCCCCGCCCAGATCGCGAATCTCGCTGACGAACAAAATCGTAAGGGCATGAGTCTGAAAAAATAAATGAGATCGTGAGCCTAATTCTATGCTCATCGTTAGGACTCATTCTAGCCATAAAACTCATAATAAATCCTGGCAAACAAGCGTAACGTTAACCCCAATCCCGACCCTGACTTTAAAACTAATTCTAAACATAAACCAAGCCAATTACACATCTCTGGTCGGACGAGGGTTTCGGAACATTTCTAAGCCCGTGACGAAAAGCGTATTCCATGTGAATAAGATGTATCCTCAATATTCACCTTCGTCATTCCTCGAAAGATTATCTTCCTTTAGATGCACCGGCATAACGTGAATGCTCGTCATTTATTTTGGCGTCGAATATTTAAACGTCAAAACATCTCCACGCACACAGATTTTTGTGAACTTCAAATGGGCATTTATAATACTCATTTATTAATAAAGCAGTTCCTTAGGGCATGCCAGTCTTTCTTGGCGTGGTTAACCTCTTTGCGAGAGTTTAAACGTGCCTGCAAGGGGGAATGAAATGCCTTGTGAACGTTGTTGTATTGACACGTTTTCACGGACTGCCATTCCTTGAAAGAGCAAGGAGGCCTCGGAATCCACGCAGAAGTGGTTCTATGAAAGCATTTCTTCCACCAGAAATGTAACAAAGTCAAGACGCTTAATATATTTTGATTACAGTAGTAGTCAGCTGCAGCGTTTTTCACTGAAACTTTCAACAGCGGCAGCTAATCTGTAAATCGCCTTTCACATTCGAAAAAATAACATCCGCTTCGGACTGTGACTTTCATTTTTTATGGTGAGATAAAGTCAAACCCCTTGGGTGGGCCGTCCAAGGTGGAACTGTCAGTCCGAAGTCCATTCTGTGGCATTAGATACTGCACGTCATAGTTGCTTACTGTCTGCCCAGTCAAGTCAAAGTTCTCACCACGGTGAATGTTAATTTTGGTGACAATTTTAAAATTATGCGACTCCTCACTTCTGCAATAAAGTCCCGTAGCATGAAATTTAAGATGCTATCGAAGAGACAGATTAAATATATCCCGCTAGCGTAGCCCTCGTTTTGCACGCCGTATCGAATGCCTCCAATGCCCCTAAAGAAAGTTCCGTCTTTTAAACAATTTGCACGAATCCGAGATCATCGCGTAAATGGAATGAGCGCCAAAAACGAGAGGTAATATTCCCCTTGGAGCATTCACGCTGAGGATTCCATGTTTTGGTAGTTCAGAATTTACAAGAAGTCTTAGCGTTATTTTAAACTGAAAATCTTTCAGACCTCCAATACGTGCCTTTTTATTTTGGTTCTTCTAATGCCAGAATTTGAGGCGTTCATGGCTTCTGTCACATCTGTGAGATCAAAACAAGGCAGTGGTGAAGGGAAGGACGGGATTTAATGACCCCATAGTCTCGTGATCACATATTCAAATACGTACGATCACTGCGTGTTAATGAGATAAGATAAACTGTTCAACTGGAGGGCAACCTTGAGGGATGAAGCATGATATGAAATTTCATGACGCCATTGAATTCTGCATGCTTTGTCGCCTTTGCCTTGTTCGAATTTACTCTGGGAAAGCAATATACCTTTGGTAGTCCTTTTCTGATAACACAGCCTGCTATGCACTTGCTCTGGGCTTACATATCGGAGTCTGTGACATCTTACCTAAACGGTTTCCTCCGTTTGGAAGCCGAGGAAGTTTACCCTTATGATGACCTTCGACACTTTGTACATAATCTCCGAAATGAACACGAGCCATTGAAAGGGCAGCTGTCAAAGTGAGGCAGAACTCCGCTTCCAGTTCATAGCCGTTGACAACTTTTAGCCCCAGATCTCCTGTTGAATAATATAAGTGTTTGGTTAAGTTTGCCTTGGGGCAAATCTAGTGATAAGTGGAAACGTGCTCTGTTCGCTCTAGGCATAACTAGCATCTAACGCCCGCATTACAAGTACTGCATTCCACGAGAAAAAGGGATCTCGCGCAACTACAAGAAGCTTTCTGTGAGGCCGCGACGAACCGCTGCTCTACACGTATACGATAGATGCTCTGCCTAAAAGATGTCGCGGCTGCGTTCGGATTCGCCAACTGAAGGAACTTATTCCCGTTTCCCCCTATCTTCCCTCTGGAGGTCAGTTTGCTGAAGGCTGAATGATGCTCCTGCCAGGATTTCGAGACGAAACCTCTGCGCCGCAGACTGGCAGTTCTGTTGATGGTTTTCAGGCAGTTGGCAGTATTCTACTCTTTCCAATAGGCCAGGAATGTAAGGTGAACTAATAATGGCAAGGTTTGGTTCTGCAGCCCCACTTGATTGATACAGTAGCTGGGCTATCTCATGAAGTGTCAACTGAAATTCCGGGCTTCGTTTTCGTCTCAATAAGTTTACTTGAGTAAGGTTGTAAAACTAGTCAGCCTGCAACATAACTCTATGATATTTCAGTTGCCACAGGATGCCGGCTTTCGAACGAACTTCCTTCCGGCTGCATGCAAAAACCACACTCTGTAAAAAAAATAACTACTGATGTAACGTGAATTTTTCTCGTTGATTTTCGACGCCCCTAAATGTCCAATTATATTTCATGGAAACATGCATAAAAATATTCATTCTTTCGCTCAATGGGTAGACAAATACGTTTTCTTCCAATCTTATACTCGAAGGAAGGGTATAATTCGGTTATCAAAAACTTTTCTAATTCCCGAATAATTTTGAACCCGCTGTACCGTTACACTTGGATTAAGGGTTTCAGAGCTACAAGCCGCATATTTTCCTCCTACAGAAAACCACACATTTCTCTACGGTAATAAAGGAGGGCAATAAAGTGGTTCATAAAAATTTAGCAGTGGATTTGAGCCATATTGTAGACTTCATAAGCCATATTGGTAAATGCAGAGACATGACGATTTATGAACGGCCATTTCAAGGTATTAAAAAATCTCACAATTAAAAACTTTTTACAACCGAATTATGTTCCTCTTTCGAGTATAAAATTACAAGAAGATATATTTGTCTACCCAATGAGCGAAATAATGAATATTTTTGTGCATGTTTCCATGAAATATAATTGGACTTTTGGGGGCATTGAAAATCAATGAGAAAAATTCATGTTACATCAGTAGTTATTTTTTACGGAGTGTGGTTTTTTCATGCAACCGAAAGGGAGTTCGTTCGAAAGCCGGCAGCCTGAGTTAACTGAAATATTATAGAATTGTGTTGCAGGCTGACTAGTTTTACAACACTACTTAATTAATCTTTTCGAAACAGAAACACATTTCGGAATTTCGGCTGACATTTCATTAGTTAGCCCACCTACTGTACCTTATGGCTGGAAGGGAAAGAGACACAAACAGAGTTTGAAATTCGCGCAGGGAAGCGCTTGAAGATGGCGTGTACACATTCTCCTGCGACACAACCGCTTTTTGGATTAGTAGGATAAAGAGGGCCCAATAACAACTGGAAGCCCGTGCAGGGAACCGCGTGCTAATTCGCTATGCATGGTCATTATAGTGGAATTGACTGAGTTCTCGTCTTCTGAACAATTCCATTAGCGAGCCAACGTAGTCGCTAGATGGATTAAGATAATAAATTGGACGCAAGCAGGGCTCGAAGCCCGCTCAGGGAGGCGCGTGTGAACTGATAACTGATGTAGCCGAGACTGACGCATAAGCAATCCTCCCCCCGTGGCACAGTAACTCGCTGGATTAAAATGATAAGGAAGGTGCAAATACGTGATATTTGTAAAGTCAGCTTATTCGCATCTGCCAAAACTTCCTCAGAAATCTAACCATATGGTATCAATCAGTTGGGACTGCAGAATCAAATCTCGCCCTTATTACTATTACTCGATAATGAGGTGAAACAGATGACAGCTCCTGTTAATCACCTTTTACACTCGATGCAGAATCATGAGGTTGCAGAATGTCTTGAATAGGAAGCACGACTGCAACGAATAAATCAGCGCGCCCTGAGTGACGTGTGCTAGCGAACACATCAGGCCCATTTGTTAACTCAACAGACCGACCAATCAGGACGCGTCGGAGGGATAACGCACTTCGACTTGAATAATTCGTTCCGGTTGAGGGATTCGGAAAGCCCTGACAAAGTCATTGTTCAAAAACATTCGGTTTGTCTTATACCATTCGCAGCAACTGGCATCGCACAACCGTAGAACACAAAAGACTCCCTTAAACTACCATTCCCCATGCCGCAAACAAACCATCTCGAAATGATTCACCGCAAGGCCTGTAATTTTAACTAACTTGGCAAAACATACGAATATCACATTTCGTCTCAACCCATCAAATCGCACCTTTTTCTGCCAGTTATCCATCGATCAAGACCCAGTGACCGGGACAGAATGAAGTAAGAACTCTAGCGCAAATTCTGATTCAAGAGTCGTGTGTCAACTTCAAAACAATCCAGTCTAGCATTTTATTGTCGCTCATCTTCTAACCGCGAAGAATGTTGCGGGCTGCAGTACGCGAGCCTACATTTTAACTTTTGAGATTTCCTAAAAGAGAGATTTTTATTGTCCGCCTTGGGGATAAAGTCTCGAATGCCTCCTCTCCTTGATTATAATAGCAAAACACACTAAAATAGTCATTTGCAAATGGCGGATACCGTGGTTTGTTGGAAGAATAAATCTCCGCTTGCGAACTTCCGACATGAAGTAGAAATCAGAAAAGAAGTCCTCTTGGTTTATTACTAGAAAGGCTTTTTCATCCTGGATGGCTGGTGGATATAATGGTCACTGGGGGATTTACGACCATGCTGCTGCATCTCATTACCCGAGGAAGGGAATACCCTAACAAAGGTCGCTGGGGAGCGGTCAGTACAAGTGTATAACACGTCACTGGTTGTTCTTGACCTACGATCCGTTTGACTGACCTAAATTCGAGCATAAACCTGATGAGGACCCTAATTCATGTCTCGATTACTTTCATCTGTGATGTTTTGCCATTGTGACCTGCAGATCTTATACGCCTGGTAGGCATCGACAAATAATTCCTGCATTATTCCCAACCAAAGGCTCTTGGAAAGTACCCTCACCGAAGTGGCCACAAAATCATTAAATACTCATATATTCAGATAAGTGAGTAGGTACCGACAAAGACAAGAGAGATCGGATTAGCCATTTCCGGCTTATTAGTCATCATCAGCCAGTCATACCCAACCCCAAGTGTGGATCACTTGAGATTCGAAGCTGGGATCTTTGGTCATGGAGTCTGACACCTTAACATTGAGCCACGGGTCCGTTGTCCTGTCGGTTGTGAACGGACTCCTACTAGTCGCTTTGCGACTGCCTGTGAGGGTTCTGGTATGAGCCCCAAGGCACAACGGAACGAGCCCGTCCCGTAACCTGATCGGTGAGCGTCTATCTGTTATGATATATGTACATGCCGTTTCGAGAGACCTGACAAGACGCTTCTTGATTACCTAACTCGAATTGAGTATTAAGTTTAAAATAATAGAGAATCTGTATATTTGGAGCCATATTACGTGGATCCGCTACATAAGGACCAGAGGTGAAAAATAAAATCCTTGAAAGTAGATGCCATACCTAGGAATTATACAGTTCCGACTTCAGTATTTCCAACCATCTCCTCGCAAAGACTGGTGTTCGCGATCCCCTGGATATTTTACTGTCCACATGCTCCAAGGTTAATGTACATAAGAATAAGCACTTTAACTGACCGACCACCGCAGAATCAAGCAGTCTTGGGAGTCCTCTCTCTGGAGGTGACTACTTAAAAGGTTAGGTCGGGTTAGAAAATTTTATGTCCCTAAACATGTGCACGGACTCTTATTCTTAGAATTAAGGGGCAGGAACAAACACTAAACTAAGAAGGCGGCAGTTTCAAAGCATAAGACTTTGGATATGCATGTCTTTTTCATATTTAAATAAGGCGCTGGTCAAGATGTCGGATTGACGGTGCGTAGTGTGAATTTCTGATCATTTGTTTTCTATTTATTTGTCTCATTCAAGCCAATTCTTGTCGCCGTAAATGTCTGATGCACATGGAATAATCACCGTTTTCAAGGGTTTGCACATATTAAGAACACTCGTTTATTCATGGCCCTACTTCTCACATGCATAATTGGCAAGCCCGAAGCATCCATCAGGCTGTACTCCTAAAATAAACTGAAGTCTAGCCACAGCGACGGTTTGCTGTAATGACACATTTACCGAGTGATCGTGGTTTAATCAGATTATAAATCCACGAATCGAGGAGTTCGTGAAACCGAGGCGGGGCCGGGTTCAGTAGACTTGACTTCCTATACCCCTGAATCGCAGTGACTGGAATACGCAGGTGTGGCCTGCCCGCAAGGCGAGAAGCGTATGTACTAAAACGACGAGAACGCTTTACTTCTAATAGAGGTTTACCTTCATATGTGACGCTATCTCGATGCCTAGATGTTCCTTGGTAAACATCTATGGTATCATTGGTGATGTTTGTATTGAACCTAGTTGTATATCTCATGACACACAGCCAGCGACCGATTTTATGAGGTGTAAACGGGAATTCTGAAATGTGTTTTTGACTAATGGGAATTACTTCAGTAGAATTACAATATTGACTGTTATGAAGCCTAATCCAATGACATTTCAATCATGCTCTGATACCGGCCTTGAACGCACTGCTTATTGGCCGCCTGCAAAAACCGCGCTAATTAGAATTGCCTACTTAAGTTGCATTCACTTTCTATTGATTTTTGATGCCTGTATAGATAGGAACATGTTTCCAAAAACGTCGATAGGAGTCGGTTACGCCGTCCTGGTCCCATGTGTCAGCGCAACGTGGGCATTGCAAGTAAAGCAGGCCGAACGACGATGCAAAAATAGTTAGTGGAAAACTAGCCAAAGCTAAAACTGAAAAGGGAAACCTGCTGTTTCGGTCTAGAATTAGAATTAATATTAGACTTTCGGTTAGTTTCAGGCTAATAATTGATTTAAGAATTAGGGTTTACGCTAAAGTCAAAGGTTCTGCTTAAATTTAGGGTTTGGATTTGGGTTTGGATTTACGTTTATTGTTGGGGTTAATGTTAGGGTAGGGTTACGGTTAAGGTTAGACTTAGGTAGAGCGTCGGGTTTGTGGTTGCTTTAAGGTTAGGTTTAGTGTTAAGTTTAGGATGAGCGTTCAGGACTAGGTTTACTTTTTAGGTTACGGTCATATTCACCGTTAGGCTTGGAGTATTGCTGCCTCGTGTGTCCCGTCAGCCAGGTCTTTTGCGACGATTCTAGGCTTTTTTTCAATCTCGCGGCAGATTTGTCATTCATCAGGTTGCTTTTTCCGTTTCAGTTTTGACTACTGTCCCCGTTAACGATTTCATCATCCCATTTCAGCTTACTTAAATTTCAATGCCTACTGTACGCTAACACCTGGAACTAGGACAGCGTAACCGACCCTTATCACAAAACATCAATCAAAAATCTTCTCTGTTTATTCATTTGGTAAACATTTTGTACCTGAAGGATGGGAATATTTCGATTTTGGAAAGGTTTACGATTATGGACCTTTTATAAGGCTGTGACATGTTTATTTGAATGTCAACGCACTTGTCCATCGAATAATGCTACAGATAATGTATGACGTATAGCCCACGGGCATTAATAAACTTTGAAGAAGAAGAAGAAGAAGAAGAAGAAGAAGAAGAAGAGCTCATCGGAGCAGGTTTATTTAGATGCTGACGTTTCGAAGAGCTTGATCGGCTCTCGATTGTCAAGGCGTAAAATGCACTTTATCGACCAGAAATCTTAAGTGGCGTGTCACGTTGGTCGGCCTCGTGCTGATCGATTTTTCTTTCCTCTTGCTGCCTTGGCCTCTAGGGGGATGGTTGACGGGTGTTTTGTCTGCGTGCTTTGTAAGTCGCCACTCTGTCAGGGGGAGGTGATCGAGCCAGTGTCGGGTAATCGGTCTGGTGGTTTTCGTTCTTCTTCACAAAGTAAACTCGCCGTTGGATTATCTCCGTATGGCCTTCTTAAGTTCGGTGTGGTTGTTTGGTCCTGAGCTCTTTGGTTGTGATGACGTAGGACTTTGTAAACTGCACGAAGGTCCAGATGCCTGTTGATGGAGTGGGCTTCGGAGAACCACGCCCCGTGAGTTAGCTGTTCTGCTATTGTGTTGCCCCGGCTTTATGATTCTACTATAGGGTATCTTTTTAATGGCATAGAGGGATACACGGTTTGCCTCGCGTGGAAAGTATTTTACTTTAGTGGCAGACTGAGCTCAACCTTATACGCGAATAAACGTTTTTAAAACCTAAATATATCCCTTACATCGACCATAAAATTTGATAGAGACGGGATGTGCTACTAGAGGAGCATAAAAAAGAACATTTTCGCACAAGTGTTTAAGAAAAATGTAGCCAAATTAATAAGGACACTGTTATTCAATTATAAAAAGTCTTACTACTGAAGTAATCATTTGTTGACAATTAGGGTTTTTGCGGACGGCCGAAAAGAAGTATTTTCAAAAGCCAGAATCCTGGTGTGACTCAAGTATTTTGAAAGTATGTTGCATAATAAGCAAGTTATTACAGGTCCCCTGAACAAACCTCCCTAATCGAAAACTTAATTCAGCATTTCACTTAATAATTAATGACACTGGTCATTGACCGTCATGAAAAATATCAAATAAGAAGTCATTGCGATTTTTTACTGACTACCACTCTTACATTCAAGTCACTGGGCTCTGACCGTAAAAGAGCACTCGAGGGGCTTATGTTGAATGGTTTTTTTCAACAACTGTTGGTCTCAAAATGTTTTAATGTGCTTCTGCTCTCCTGGGTTCTAATCTCACCAACACAGGCAAGCTTTTCAAAAATGCGTGCGCGCTTTTAGCACCTTTTGTTCTCGATTCTCCCTCATTTTATAGTTTCTGTCGAAACGACTGCAATCCGAATTTGCCTAATTTGCGAAGTAAATTTTGGATCGATGTTTGTAGAGACTTTCCGCAAAGTATGTGAATCAATTGGAAAGGGTGTACTGCGATCAGATACGAAACCAACACTAGGGCGAACAAGCAAAGAGTGCTGAGCATTCTCGACTTATGCAACATGGAGTGGGCGATTTAACCCATAAAAATTAACGTAAATTCTAACGTCCACTTTTGGCTAAAAAGAATTACGTGCGCGATGTTGAAGTGCCGATTAGCATGCGGGAAGTATCCCCGCTAAGAATAGAAAACTGCGGTTATACCCTTTTGTCCATTTATTTTTAATGCCTTTATAGATTTAACACAATGTATGGGAAGTACGCATAAAAGGGTTTTTTCTTTTACGTTTTTTGTGAAGAGGTACTTCTTTTTAGACTTTGTCTTTTAAGAAATGACATCTTGTTTAAAAAAATTTTAATGACCAAATTACTTTATCTCAACCGCCATTTCACCGACGTTTGGGATTTCGCATTGCACATTGTAAAGTTTCCATTTAAAGAATATCGTGTGGTCGTGCCTGCTATAGCGTAGATGTCATCTAGCGCACATACATTTGTGTGGTGAATATGAACCATGTTCTTAGCACTATGCCTTAACAAACATGTAGGTATTATACTATATGAATAAACTCTTCGACGTTTTCGAAGTTCTCGCAAACTCCTTTGTCAAACAGTGCAGCATAAAAAGTATTTTAATGAGTCTGAACTGCAGGCTACCGGCGTTACGCCTATCCAAAGGCCAACACATTGTAACGGTGCCTAAAACGACAACGTAACACGTCCCCCTCCCTTGCCAAAGTTAACGCCAGACGAAAGTCCAGGCACATACCTCACTGATTTTCACCTACTTAATCACTCAACAGTGACCGATTCGCCCCACCAGATCGTCGCCAAGCCTTCATCACGTGCTTTGTGCTGTTTACCCCGACTTTTTAATGTTAAGGCGAATAGGCGTTGTGGTGGATTTGAACAAGTCAACTGAACCTCCCCTTGTGAAAAAGACGGCGGCTTCAGTGAATTTTTAGTCAAATTGTTAGAATTTACAAAACCTCCCGTTAGTTCTATTTCCTAGGCGATCATTTGGCAGATTATAGGTTGATTCATTAGGGGCATCTGCTTGGCCAGACCTTGCACTAGGTTGGGCTTCAAACCTGGCCGAAACGTTTACGGCACAATGCTCCCCGTCGAAGTCTTGTTGCTTAGGTGGTTACAGCGCTGGCTGTGCACAACTGTTGTTCCTGCTCTCCTGAGCTCTAATCGTACCGAGATAGACAAGTTTTTACCAGTGCATGTGCTCTTATATTACTTCTTCGTTCGTGATTTTCCTTCATGTTAAAAGTGTCTGTCGAATCGATTGCAATTCAAGCATGTCTGTTTATGAAGCAAAAGTTGGATTAAAGGTTGTAGAAACTTACCGTAAAGTATATGAACCATTTGGAGAGGGTGTGCTAAGGGGAAGAATACTGAAAAAGCTATCTAAACAATCATCCTCAGTAGATGAATGTCCTGGAGATGCAGCGGGCTCAGGCAGACACTCCGTTGTTTATTAAAAGGTTTAGGAGACGGTGCTTTGAAGAATCTGAGTAAAGTTATAGCATGGACGACCACACGATACTCTTCAAATGGAAGGTTTACAATGTGCAATGCGAAACCGCAAACGTCGGTGAAATGGCGGTTGAGATAAAGTAATTTGGTCATTAAAATTTTTTTAAACAAGATGTCATTTTTCAAAAAACAAAGTCTAAAAAGAAGTACTTCTTCACAAAAAACGCAAAAGAAAAAACTCTTTTTTGCGTACTTCCCATACAATGTGATTAATCTATAAAGGCATTAAAAATGAGCAAAAGTGTATAACCGCAGTTGTTATATTAAGCGGGGATACTTCCCTCATCTTGAAGTGAATGAAGGATCTTAAAATTATGCTGCATGCTAATCGGTACTTCAACATCACGCACGTAATTCCTTTTAACCAAAATTGGACGTTGGAATTTACGTTTATTTTTGTGAGTTAAGTCGCCCACTCCATGTTGCATAAGTCGAGAATGCTCAACACTCTTTGTTTGTTCGCCCTAGTGTCGGTTTCGTATCCGATCGCTCAGGCGCAGTTAAGCGAGTTACAAAGCCCCTTGCAAGGAGGATGTCCGAAACAGAGGCGTACTGGGATTGAATGTTTTCAGAAGGAGGACAGTGGTTCCCTATTTCAAAGTTTTATTTGAAAAAAGACATCACATTGGCCGTTTACAAAACAGGGTCTTGTGAGTCTTGCAGTAAATAGTGTACTGCCATCTTCATATTTTCTTACGAAATACACTTCTTGTAATGTTCAATCGGGCGTTCCGCTAAGCAGGGAGTTCAGAAAAGGGAGACACCCGCCGATCGCCTTCTCCAAAGTGAAGGTTGGCGCCGAGTGAGCCCGATGCACTTTATTTAGGAGGGTTTTCAAATTGAGCATTTATCACTCATATCACTGCACGGGCCTAAGGATGAATAATTGCAAGCGTACGTTTGCCGAAAATGACTTCTTAAATTCATCTTCATCTCAGAGTGAATTTATTCAATCAGTTCATGTTCTGGCTCTAGCCTGCATTATTGCAAGACTTTGTTACTAATTCAACTCCAAAACGGGCTTTTACTCACCCTTCTTAAAAGTTGTATTTGGAAATAATTTGATGTCTTTATTTCCAAATACAACTTTTAAGAAGGGTGAGTAAAAGCCCGTTTTGGAGTTGAATTAGTAACAAAGTCTTGCAATAATGCAGGCTAGAGCCAGAACATGAACTGATTGAATAAATTCACTCTGAGATGAAGAGTGCGCTGGTTACTTAAATTGCTTAAGTTAATTTAAACAACCAGAACTTCCAGAAATCTCTACTGCCACAATAAAGTCTAACTGCACATCAACTGACATTTAAGGAAAATTTAGACGTTCTTTTCGAACGAGTTGCTTTTGCTGCTACTCATTCATTTAATATGTCTTCTACAACCCTAAAAGGCATAGTGGGCTTTTCAAACTCATTTTCGTAACCAGCTAGTGGATGACTTTTCTAAGCCTTATCGGGTCCATCGTGCGGGCTTTGAGTGGTCGTAAAACCAGTAGGATTTCTACCGACAGAGTCACTTTTCGCTCTGCTTGCGTCACTGTTTACTCGATCTTAAATTATGTCTACCCACTGTTTCTAGCTTCCCAGTGTTATACCGCGCTGGCCAATCATCATACAATAATCCTCATCATCTGCTCACGATAGGATGCTCCTACCCCCATCGTTTTGATATTTGCTTCACCATATAATTAGACTAATTTAAGAAGTAATTTTCGGCAAACGTACGCTTGCAATTATTCATCCTTAGGCCCGTGCAGTGATATGAGTGATAAATGCTCAATTTGAAAACCCTCGTAAATAAAGTGCATCGGGCTCTCTCGGCGCCAACCTTCACTTTGGAGAAGGCGATCGGAAGATGTCTCCTTTTTCTGGATGCCCTGCTTAGCGGAACGCCTGACTGAACATTACAAGAAGCGTATTTCTTAAGAAAATATGAAGATGGCAGTACACTATTTTCTGCAGTCTTGTCCCGCTACGTCAGAAACGAAACAGCCCACTGTCACACCAACCGCATCGGGAGAATATGTAGTCCAGATACGCTGGGGCACGAATTTGCCATTATATAAAACGCTCTGCGAGATGACGGCTTTCCTTGGAAGTTTCTATGCAAATATATGAAAAACTTCCACCTAAATTGGAAATGGCGACGGTTTGGCAGAAGGAGTTATTTCCGACACTGACATTTCGAGAGGAGCCGGCGAGTGGAGTTCTACATTACCGCTTAGACGCTTCTATCTTGCGCAAATACCCAGCCGCAAAGACAAGACCAATTACGCAAATACTTCACTTCTTCGCCTTGAAGGTATGGATAGACTGCTGCTGTCAGACCTTTTCAGTGTGCATCTACGCCTTCACTTGCTTCTGTGGGGCAGGTTATATTGGTCAACCAACTAGGCGCCTATCAAAGCGAATACGGGGGCGCCATCCTACCTGACTAAATCAAGGTGTAGAAAAGTCCATATGTTGGTTCACTTGCGTGACAGCGGCCACCGGATGGACGTCAATCCAGCCTTCCGGACCATCTATAAAGTTCCGGCATGACACTCAAAGTTCCTGTGTCAGCGAATACTTGTGACGGCAGAAACAGTGGATATACAGTTAGTCAACCCAACCTTGTGCTTGCATAAACCATATGCTGTAACAGTCCCCTGGCTAGGAACGAACTTAGCATACGTAGTCATACAGCAACGAAACGGGAATATATCTAAGTGCCAGACACTTTCCCCTCCCTAAGCCCCTGCCAAAATTAGATTATAACCCCTTACTTCCGAACACCATCAACCCTTTGCTCCATATTTAGTGTTTATTGGTTGCTTAAACTTTTGCTACTCTACCCTCCGTTATATTTTTTCACAGGACCATTGATTAATAATCGTCAACGCCTGTTGCCCAACTTGGCTTCTTAAATTTCCACATGCATTTCATCGCCAAACTTAGACAATCCAAGAATAAGTTGTTCCAAAGTGCCCCCTAGGGTTCTCGCAAGCATGTGCAGCCGAGAACAAGCATTCTGGCAGACCGGTTTATTTTAACTGCATTTTCGTGATTTTTTTGAAACAGGTCTTCGACACCAAGAGGCATATCACCATAGAAGAGCGTCGGCTGGCGGATGCACTTCTCCGGCTGTCTTGTGCAGTAAAGGTACCACCCATCACCTCATTCCCCTCCCCTCTTCTTTATTTCTGTGTGAAATTTTTGTGTATGTTGTATAGTGCTGGTGCTATAATTAGCTGTCACCACGATCTGATTAGAAATCAGCTTCAGCTACAAGGATGGTTGAAGCCTGGAGTGGACTATACGACCGTTTTTTGCTCAGATTGTGAAAATCCTCCCCGGGAAACCGAAGGATCCCTGCGTCAATAGAAGCAAAGACACGAGTTTCTGGAAGCAGTCTTAAAAAAGGAGACACGATCGCTACGGCAAGAGCTTTATTAGCCTGACGTTTCGGATTCCTGCTCGAATCCATCATGAGAGACAAAAGCAGATACGGGTGGATCATGCACAAGGGGCTGCAGTCTTTATAGGCTGCAGTCGCCGTGCTACCGCATACCTATGAATATTCACGGGCGCCCTTTTAATCAGTGATGGCTGCACTTGGTGTACTAATTGTTTGACATTCGCGTCGTTAATTGCTGCAATTTCATCAAGTGCGTTGGATGTTGGTGCGATGATTGCTCGACCATCTAATCCACTGACCCTGGTGTTGGGAACAGAGTTTACCTGTGCGCTTCCCGCGTGGCTAATTACTCCGCCTTGGTGAAGTCTCAGCACTGATTATGGAGTGGAAAGGTCATTGCACTTTTAATGGGCTGAGGGCCAGTAAACCATGACTCAAGCAGCTCACGCGGTTGTCACCTCTTGCGAGAATTTCGGCCTCGTAGAATGAGTCGCAACTTGAGAGCTGGCGTCATTTCTCCTCACCGCTGCAGAGTGTTCGGTCATTCACGTTTTGAACTGTCTTCCGGTTCCTCCGACGTATTTGGTTTGTCAGCAACTGCACCAGATCCTATAAACGATTCCGACGTTTCTTGCCGTGGCAGTGGGTCTTTCGGTTTTATTACCTGACGCCTGATGGTTGCCTCCGGTCTGTGTGCAACTCCAACCCCAAGTGGTGCGAGAAGGCGGCCGACAGCTTCCGAAACGTTCTTGACATACGGAAGCGTTCGCCAAAATTTGGTGTCCATGCGGTAAGGCCTTTCGTCCCCATTTGCGTATGCACCGGTTGACGAAGTTGCGCGGGTAGCCATTGGTTTTGAAGACACGTCGGAGGTTTTTTATTTGGGCAATCTTGTCTTCCGGCTCACTGTAGTGCGTGCTAGTAATCTTGGGAGAAGTGGCGATGCGCAGTTGTGATTGATTTCCGTCTGAGCAACCGGGCCTTCCGGCATTTTAACCGCAGGTGAGTTTGATCACCAAATATAAGACTGACTTCTAGAGCGAAAATAAGTAACTTCTCCAGCAACATTTGCAGGTCTGAGAACAGCACGGCCAAGAAAGTGCGCATAGGGTTATTTTCGAAAGATTTGTACATGCCCTTCCATTCAAAAGTATCCCAAATATTTTATCGGTAGAGTCAGCGTCTGAGTATAATTTTTCGGTTGTCCAGGGGAGGGAGGCACGTAAAACATTTAACAGGTTTTTGGTGTAGGGAAGGAAAGAGAGTTGCTAGAAAACTTCCTTGTGTTTCAGCATCACTTTGCAACAATAGGCACTAGAAAGCGAGTCTTCGCTGGAGTAATTTACAAGTTTGGGCAGTTGTAAAACAGCAAATAACTTTAATGAATGCCACGACTCGAGAAACGATGGAAACCAGAATTGTTAGTTTCGGCGTATTAGCCGTCACCAGCCAACCAGATTAGAGGGGTCGAGTTCCGTCATGCAGTCGGCCTAAACAGGCAAGGACCACGGCTAAAGGTCAGGGGTAGCTCTTTCTAATTTCCAAGGGCATACGAACTTCCTGTTATCAGTGTACAAAAACGCAATTTTGACAAGAAATTAGACTGCAATGGCTGCTCCTCCCCTTTTTGCTGCTTTCAGTAATCCTAAATCTCTAATTTCAACCAGGCTTGAATCCAGTGTCATGCCGTTCATTGCCAGCAACTTTACCTGACCGGTTGTCTTTCAGGGGCTACAGTGTTCATTTGGTCTCCGGAATTTTTCTGTCAAAAACCGACCCTGCTGATGATTCTGTGGGATCCGTTAAGACATGGAAAAATAGAGATTTGACGTCCAATGTCGTTCTGTTGGTAAAGGATATAGTGCTCGTAAAGTCTACTAAAGGACCAGGACAAAAAAGATCTTTCTATGGAAAATTTGAATTATGGAAGGTTAGCTGGGGAAACTTAGCTTTAGGTCCACAGTACAGTTGACTTTCAAGCTCGAGAGATCCATTCCAGGCGAAATTTGAGGACCCAGGAGTTGGCAGTGTGGCAGACAGATTCTGTTTGCTGCTGAGAGTTGTACGCAGCTTTTACAAGACGCCTGTAAAAGTCAAATGTAATATTGATGGCGACCTTTAGCCTTTTAGTTGATTTGATTACGATGAGGTAGAAAGTTTCACAGAAGTAGAACTAAAAAAGCGCCTTAGATATTTCTGGCGACCGTAAAATACCGGGGGTGACTGAGTATCATTTCATGCACATGAGGTTTTGCTCTCACGGTACTCAGATTCTACAAGACAGTAGGGTGTCTAGACGCCTGTAATAGTCAAATATAGTATCAATGGCGACATTCGGCCTAGTACTTGATTTTATTACGATGTGAGAAAGCGTTTTAACTATTTTTGGCTACCGTGAAATACCGGGATTGACTGAGTATCGTTTCATGCAAATGAGGTTTTGAATTCACGGTAACCGCCTTAAAAGTACAAGTGACACTTAGATGGCTTAAAAGGTAGGAGTGCTGGACTAACTATTTTCACCTTTCCACAAATCTGCTCGACAGTAGGATGACAAACGGAAGTCTAAAATAAAATCATGGTGTACAATGGCGTGAGTAACGCCCTGTTTCGCAGCTGGATCGTGACATACCTGGTTTCGCATGGGAAATAGGCTACCAAAAGTGTTTACCAAGGACGGGTGGTCAGATCTTGGTCCCAGCGTGGGTGAGCTGGAGTTCCTTAAGACTATCTATGGGCGAGGTCGGGTTCTGTAGCCCCACTTGATTGATACCACATGGTTAGCTTCCTAAAACAATCATGGTATATGCAGGTACTCTGACTTTACAAATATCAGACGTCTGCACCTTCCTTACCGTCTTAATGCAACGAGTGACTATGTCACGGAGGGAGGAGTGCTTACATGTCAGCCTCGGTTACTTCAGGCATTAGTTCATGAGCGCTTCCCTGCGCGTGCTTCTAGCCCTGCCTACGCCCTCTTTATTCCACTAATCCAGCGAGTGGCTAGGTAGGCTCGCTAATGGCATTGTTCGGACGGATTAGAACTCCGTCGATTCCACTACAATGACCATGCACTGCGAATTGCCACGCGGTCCCTTCTATGGCCTTCCAGTTTTGATTGTAACCTCCTTATCCTACTAGTCGGCGAGTGGCTGCGTCGGGTGGGGAAGGAGTATGTATGCGCCATGTTCGCGCGTTTCCCTGCGCGTATTTCGAGCTCTCTGTGTGCGCTCTCTTTCCCTTCCTAATCCAGCTAGTGGCTAAGTTAGGTATGTAAACTAATATTTTTTTAGTAAGCTAACCACATGCTATCAATCAAGTGGGACCGCAGAACCAAACCTAGCCTATCTATGAAATAAATGTGCACAAGATCGATCAGACAAACCAAACTCCCGGACGAATTCAGCTCAGCTGATTTTCCTTACGTTTTCCGTGACGGAAAGCATCAAACATAAGAAGCATTACATACTCGAATCACGACTGCAGGTTGCTCAGATAGGGGTGCATCACGGAGTTTTGGTGTACGTAAGATAGGAAATGTTACTATCTCGCCTTTGCCCTTCGTAAGTGGGCTAGGCAACTCGAATTGTTGAAGAAGGAAACACGGTGCCGGGACAAGAGCTTTATTAACCTGACGTTTCGGATTCCTACTCGAATCCATCATCAGAGACAAAAAAGCAGAAACGGGTGGTTGCTGCACAAGGGGCTGCGGTATTTATAGGATGCCGTAGCCATGCTACCGCATACCTATGAACATTCACGGCTCCCCCCTTCAAGACTTCTTCCTGGGACTCGTCTCTTCGCTTCTATCGGCAACTCGAATTATCTCTCTGGAATCGAACTACGTTTGGGCGTCTGTTCTACGACTCGGCGTAAAAAGCTACTTAGATTAGACTTCGTAGTCGATTATAGTTGTTCTGTGAGAACTGCAGGATAGTCACTATAGTTTGAGAAGATGTATTACGGATGTCTGCAATGCACCATTAAACGCTTTGAAACGTTGCTTGGCACAAAAGATCTACACTCCAAGCGTCCTTTTGCCATTCTACGTTGGTTAATCTTTATTCCGGAGGGTACATTATAAATTTGAGTCGTTAACCGGAGGTAAGAGCTGGAGCGTCAAAAGTATACTGGTCTACGAGCAAACGAAGTGCTGAAAACGAGAAAGCCTCTCGTTCTACTCTTCCAGAGGACACTGATTTACTGATCCATTTTCGACCAATGAGGTAGAGCATTTATTGTGGCAGCTTGTCTCCATGACACCGCCAGCGTCCCTGCTCGCGGCAAAGTTACCTTGATTTTTATTCACAGAGTGAGCGAGGCGGCCATCTCGCGCGTATGAAAATACATCAACAGAAAGCGACACAAAATGGACTCCAGTGGTCGAGCGATTCCAGATGCCGACCCCTTGGTGATAGGGTCGGGAGTTCGGAACCCACTGCAGGCTAAGTCTTTTTAGTGATTAATAATGTCCCTGGCATAGCTGTACATAATAGGAAAATGTATGTCTATGGGCACGAGTAGTTGACCGCGGAGAAGACTAGCCTTATACCTATACTCCAACTTTCGTCAGATGTGGTTATGTAGCCCCACCCCGAAGTAAACAGACCCCAGCCAGCTGTTATAGGGGACCGGTGGTAATAGGAATTTTTACTGGTGGGGCCTGGGAACGCATAGGCCGTGAATAAAAGAGTAGTTGATTTTGGCGCTTTTAAGCCAGATCGATACATCGATTGACCGAGTTCTCATCCGAGACTTAGGCTTCAATGGATTTGTGGCTTTTCTTGCCTCTAGCGTGGACGATTATCTTTGTGGCCGCGAAATTAAGCTCGTGACCCGTTGCTTAGGCGTGGGCAGCCACCGGTGATAATCACTGCCCCGTAGCACAGTCAGTTTATGTTCGTGTGTGCGCGATTAGAGCATGCGTTCAGTCTCCCCTACGTGTTTATAAGGTCAGTTTAAGCACGGGATGCAATAAACCACACCTGAATGCTCACTGGGATTTAGTCGGTCGGTGCTTTTGGGCCGGTGTGTGATTCCGACACCTGGCAGCTCGACCACTGATTCCGACGATGTCCACCGCAACGAGCAGCAGGCATAGGGACTTGTGTGTGACTTAGTTTATAGTGATAGTAGACTTGCGTAGCATTTACCGCACTCTCACTTCCCCACTCCCCACCTGGACTCGGTGTCAAGGCAGAGTTAAGAAGACCGGAGGTGGGGGAGGTCGCAGGTGTAACCCCCTGATGCAACCGGTCGCTTCTGAGACGTTCCTAGTGTATGGCAAAACACGCAACAACATATGTGCGGTTTCTGGATGGGTCCTCCGGCGGCGGTCCTCCGGCCTTTGAACGCTTTCGGATGGCCTTTTCGCACAAATTAGGTGCGGAGATATCGGGTTTTACGTGCTTTTTCTTCCATGTTGCTGCAAAGATTCGGAAGCCAACTGAAGAGTGTTTTGACACAGCTTTGTCTGCGAGCCACCGATTGGTGGCCATGAAAGCTGAGGAGCCGCGTGGTATTCGTCGCCTTCCTGTAGACCACCGTTTCTGTTTCGCCCTTGAAGATCCGCCTAACCATGATCGAGCCGCAGGTGTTGCACACATCGGGTCCGGCTGACGACGCCTAATTAGTCAGACATGGACATCCCAGTATCCCTTATCCTTGTCGGTAATGTCATTACGACTTCTTGGCTTTGAACCTTTTGAGAGATAAACCACACTGATTCTCGCATTTTAAACAGTCGTCTGAATGCACACGTAGTCAAATATCAGCATAGTTTTCGTCCTTGCTAACCACCTATTTCCCACAGTTAACCGTGGCTGATATTCTTATTGTTCGAATTAGATATTGTAAGAATTGCACTTTCCTTCTAAGACTACCATTGTGCGCTTTAAGTTGGAACAGTAGTCTCAACGCTGTGACGTCAAGGTTGGGGCACTAAAAAGCGATTTAGTAGCAGTTCACACATCTCACCCATCTCGATCCAGACCGGCAAGTTTTCGGTTGTCGTCATGAGACCGACAAGGTCGTATCCACATATTTCGTGTTTTATGCCTGAAATATTTTCAGAGATTGCTTCACTTGCTTTCACAGAAACTTTTGGGTCGACAATCCCCAAGCATCCTTTTAGATGTCAGCAGATGCGTTCACCAGAATCTGTCTAGAGAAGGCTGAAAATAAGAAAATAAGTCCCCTAGACCACGTGGGACCTGCACGCACGTGATCGCGAACTCCCGGTTGCCCTGCCATCCAAAAAGCTGCTCAGGATAGCGTGACACAGAAGTGGCAATTATCGGAGGCGTTCAAAGCAAGCCCTGCGGCAACTAATAATGACGCTGATGTTGAGACTTGTGACTTGGGAAAGCAGACTTCACACCGCGCCACTTTCGTACGCCGCATCACATGGTCGCGACGGCGCGACAGAATATTTTTGAGCAATCGGTGCTAGAGGTATGAATACACGGGGTGGTGTGGACACGCGGCTACCTAAAGGTCCGGTGATGATGATAGTTCGATCGTCGCATCCGGCGACATCCATCGTGTGCTCCACAGCAAGGCGAAACAGGCACAGTGACTTGCCCCTGAATTATAGTTAGAGTAGACTCGCGCGGCATCTACCGTACTCTCTCCTGGACGCCGTGTTAAGACAGAGTAAAAAAGGCCGAAAGCGGGGAGGCGGGATGGTTAGCGTGGCAGAAACCCGTATCTTGATGCCCCACCCCACGCCCCCTCCATAGAAAACACGACCAGAATTTTAATCAGCATCAACAAAACAGTATGCGCGTGGATGACTGGACAGTCATGCACTAAACCTGTACAGCCAGTGATAGCACAAACGCATCTACCGCCGGAAAACCAGGTGCCGGAGAACTGTCAGCGAAGACCGAGCTGCGAGGGCCATGGTTTGCTTCCTTGACGTTCAGGATAGTTTTCTCTCTTGTCAGACATATTGTGGGACTAGAACTTGGTGGCCATGTGCGCTGTCGGCCATTTTTTGCTTTACTGCCCACCCTTACTGCGCAGGTCGATAATTAGCCCAAAATATGATTAGGACATCGGTGCGGGCAACGATTGCGTCCGGCGTGATCGTGTACGAAAAGGACGACTGTCGCGCAGATAGGGTGTCTACCGATACTCCACCCACGTAGAGCACACAACAACTGCCATAGTTTTAATCTAATAAACTATTATTTCCAGATTTTCTCTTCCGCCCAAACATATTCTTGGCATTAAAGTCTTACCCCGCTTGTGTTATGCCGTCCTGCGTGCCGCTGCTTGATTCTCGTGTTCTCATGTCCATTCTGTCGATTCGAGTACTATCGCACATACTGCGGAATGACCTTAAGACCCACTGCCTTCTTCCCATTGATTGTTCACCTTCAATTGCTATTCTTTCCAATCTGGGGTAAGGCTGCATTTATTCCGCATACCGTTCTAATTAACCATGATCATTTCCATACCCATCTTGCTCTTTTCACCTTATTTAAATTAGGCTTTCACTTTAGCAGAAGCGTCATTTCCAGGCGTACACTACCAGCGCCAATTACGCCTCCACTCATTTGCCCCACCCGTATAGCCCCTATTACCACCGGTCCCATAAGACAGGTAGCTGGGAGATTCCGGCACCGTGAGGGCTACCAACTACCATCTAACCGGCATCGTCGTTTGCGACGGCTGAACAGCCAATGAAAATGCAGCATATTCCTTTGTTTAAGTAACTTAATGTTTTTTTCTAGTATTAGGTTTACAATCGCCCCATGGTTCTGGCCAGCGGTAGATTTATAAGCATGGGCCAGTGTGCAAATGGAAACAAAACTACTTATGTCAAAATAGCAAGGCAATAAGATTTTTGTCTGAAAAGCGTATCTGCGCTATGATGTTTGTGTTCCGCAGTCACTGTATGCCATGGATCAAAACACTCAGCTCCCCAAATAGAGACATTCGTGTTTGGAAGTCTGGATACTATTCTTCACTTTTGACAATTGGCGGCTAATTGTATGACTTAAGTGATCAGTTATCAGCGACTCTTTTTCTTCGCATCGAGTTTTGATATCCCAAGAGCATCTCCTATGAAAGTAGTCTTCTCTCCTCAAAACCTGGTGAGATTTAAGTTCTCTGAATTAGTGAGTTTCGTGCGACCAAAGATCACATTGAAAAACGTTTTAAAAAAACAAACTTCTTCCCTGCTGCGGACACAGGCCTGATCAAGGTCCATAACGTAGACCTAACAGTCGCATATGCGAGGTATAATTACTTCGTTGTGCAGCATGTTAGGGGAGTACGAATCTAGGGGCGGTTATCAGAGAAAAAAATGCCTGGAGCGTGTCTTACGGGAACGGTGGTAATAGGCGTTATACGAGTGGGCGCTCACAGAGAGGAGTTGGGAAACCATGAAGCTTTGTATAGATAATTTAGGAAGCGGAAGTTAACCGCATATGTCGAAAAAAAAATTAAAAAAACTATCCCGACGACGCCACTGGTTTGCCTCAATCAGCAGGTTGGAAAGTTGAATCTCAGTTGCGTTCAGCAGTCCGACCTCATTGTGGAACAGGCAGCTGACGTTGACTGCAGTCCTGGAAGCCAAAGCTAAGGTCGTGCACCATTACCAACTCGGCCTGTTATGAAAGAATGGTCTCCCGAAAAAAAGTCTGCTACAATTATAAAACTGGTGCAAGCCTTAAACTACTTCAGGGCTTAATAATTTTTTGGTAGATTTTGAAACATTTCACCCTACCCATCTGCGAAAAATTCAGAAACCTCGATGGGATTCGAACCCACTAGAGCAATGGAAAGGTTTGAGAACAACCGACGCTCTAGCCGCCTGAGCTACAAGGCCCAACCAGAAGTTGTGAATTTAATCACATTTGGGTAAAATCACCCGCCCAGTCTAATGTAACTTAAGGAATCTACCAAAGCTGATACAGTGAGCTGACTGCGCAATCAGGATTCACTGCATAATCAATCTATAATCTACCTGAGGACTACCAAGCTCACGTAATTAATACTTGTATTGGCAGATTCACGATGGATTGCTTAGGAAATCCTTTTTTGGCAAGCTGTTTACTGTATCAAATTTGGTGGGCACTTTACGTTACATTAGGCTGGGCGGGTAACTTGACGCAAATGTGGTTAAACTTTAAGCTCCCAGTGGGGCTTCGCAGCTCAGGTGGTTAGAGCTTTGGTTGTAATCAAGCCTCCCCTTTGCTGTCGTGGGTTCCAACCCCACCAAGGTCACCGAGTCCTTCGCAGTTGGATCAAAATCAATCCTTCACGGCTGTTGGACTGAATATGGTCGTAAATTAAGTCAGTCTGTTCTGATTAGCGAAGCGTTGCCGGCGATAGTGAGACACTCAGGAGTCGATTTTGTCCACTTCTGCAATTAATCCAGCTCTTAAGAAGAATTCTGTCTGTATATAGACATGTCCTGGACTGAATAATTTCTGAAATTATTCGCTTGATTATTCTCTGGAGTTCATGTACTGGAAACCGCATGGAGAACGCTGGGGGACCTACTGAGGCTCCTAACCGTTCACGGCTGTGTCTTGCAGCGGCAGAATATCGGCGAAAAACGTGTCTGGGTTTCTAGCTAGTACCAATATCGGGAGTACGTTATAATACCTTCACTGTATATATATATATATACACTCAGGAATGGGCGCACACCGATCTATCGGCTTCCCGAAGCAAACAAGCTTCGTATGGTCGATAGGGGTCACGAACGGGCAACCACTTACCAGGCCGAAGTCGGCCAAGCTATGATAGTAGAGGAGGGACGACAGAGTCTGGGTGGGGGGTAGATTGATACAGCACTGTTTCGGGCTTGTTTGCCTTCATTCAGCCAATCATAACCTTGACCACCAGCTGAGAGCGAAAACAAAACATGCTCACAGAAACACCTGGCGCAGCTGGTCCACCACTGGCGTCTATCAGATGGGTCGTAAGTACTTCATCGAACCGAAGTTCATCAGTGCCTCGCCACCTTCACAAGATGTAAGTCCTCTGGGAAAGATAACAAAAGTTATTTCGTAAATCTTCGACTTTGCATCCCCAAGTCGTCCTCGGGCGTGAAGCAAGTGGGAAAACAGTTGGAAGTTAAACCTCCCTAAAAATCTACACTGTTCTATCACTCCTGCAAGTCAGCCTTTTCTGCGAGTTGCATCGCGGTTTAATTGGATAACGCCTTTTCCACTTTTCCTTGAAATTATTGTACACAGCATCTAATTCGGTGTGTCGATTGATGCATGATTTATCAGAGTGAATGGCCTCTGAATATTCTCGACCATTCTTTGATGGGCAGACACCTATAATGCACGTCTCCTTACAGGCAGATTTCCTTCCAGTTTCCAGTGTATGCATGGCAACCTGGAACAAGTGTCTTGCCTTTTTACCGCCAGTTGATGTTCGTCTATGCGTGTAGGAGGCGATTTCCCAGTTTGAATGAAGTTGACCGTATTGCAGGTGTCGGGTGATAGATATCTTGTAGACGATTTCCTTATCTAAATAGACAACCCTATCATTAGGGTGTACAAGCTGGTTACGAAGTATAGCTGTCGGTTTGTACGACACGTGTATTTGGTGAGTCCCCAGGTGTTTTTCAGCTAGTTTGGACACGTTCTTAACGTACGGAATTGTTCGCCAGTTTTTTGGTCTGGGCGCCTGATCGAAACAATCTAGTTGCTTAACTTTTTCTTTTAACCGCTGTCGTCTCATGCATCAGTGCACAAAATATCTAGGATACCTACTCTGGGAAAACAGTTTGAACAAATAATTCAATTTTGTTTGGTAGGTTTCGTTGTCAGAGCAGTGAGTTTTTGCTCGGTTAAGGGGGCTGTTCACGGCAGTTCGTCTGTGAGAGATCAGATGATTGCCCTCGTAGGTCTCCTTGCAGTAAATTGATGTTTGAAATGTCCCGTCAGTCTTTCTCCGTACGAGGACGTCAAGAAATGGGAGTTTGCCGTCAACCTCTTTCTCGAGTATGAATGTGACTACTGGAAGTGTTGAGTTAATGGTGCTGTGGAGCATTTCCAGTTGATCTCTTTTAAAAATGACAAAGAAATCATCAACATATCATATATTAGAGGGATGTATGGAAAGCCAGCATATCGATGGTGGCCAACAAACCTCCTGAAGCTGAGATAATAACGAAATAAGTAAGGGATAACTTGAATAGATCGTCCTGACTCTCTCACCTCTATATATATTTATTGATGTTTGTTTCGTCTTACGACGGGTTGGTGTCACCAGCTCGAAAATTCACGAGTACAACTCATTTTTTCCGACGAGCCTTCTCTCTTCATATATGTATATGTATCCTTAATCTTCACTGCTGCTTAGTTCCGGACCCAGACTGAATCCGAAGTGCGCGCCCTGCTGACCGAGATGAGTCACCGGCGTGAAAGCCTGAACATCCTGCAGACCTCCAGTGTGGGTATGCCTTCATCACCTCGTCGACGCGACGTCTTACGCCACGAGAGTCCCCGCTACTACCGGAAGCCAGTTCGCGTGGCTCGAGCTGTGCAACAGAGACCAGTGACGCAGGATTTCACCCGCGAACCCAGCAACTACGGTCAGCAACCGGTAGAGGCAATTAGTAGTGAGCCTGCTGTCTCGCAGAGGATCAGCTAGACTCTGCTCCCGATCCGGCAGTTGACTGCCTTCCGTGTTGGGAACAAATTTCAACTCCATTTTGGTCTCTTTTTCCCGGCTGCAAGAAGATGATGGGCGTGGCGGAAAGGAAGTCAAGAAGTTGCAATGAACTTTCTGTCTTTTGTTCAAACCTTTGTTATCACTCTCATACAGACAGTCACCGATAAATCTTGTCTCCCCGTACTGTTTATGACAATTCCTGTTTTTTGGACCTCTTGGTCCTGCATTCTGCGCAAAAACTTTGACTGCTGGATGGTTTATGAGGACTGCAGCAGGTTCATTCAAAACAACCATCATGCGGTAAGGCTGTTGAGAGTCGTGGCTTGTTTTAACGTGTGCATTTCCTTGTAGGGCGGCTTTATCCTGTGTTTGGCGTGTTTGGTGTGTGTAAGTCGACCCGATTAGAAATAAATATGCATGAATGAACTCGTCCAGGTCTTAGTGGAGTCCGAGGAGCAGGTAAAAATGACAAATGTAGTGAACGAGGGAAGCGTCTCTGTTTCGGCTCCTACCTTTCGACTCCCAACAGCAAGTAGCAGTCTAAACATTTGATTTTGTTTAAAATGCGTTTGGTACTTTTACACGTAGCGGTGGTAGATGAGGTCGTGCAGTACCATTAGTGACCGTAGTAAGATCGCCAGCAGTAATGGTAGTAGTAGTAATATTAATGGTTGTAGTAGTCATGGCACCAGCAACAGTAGTAGTAACAGAAATAGTAGTGGTAGTAATGGTGGTAGTAGTGGTAGCAGTAATAGTAGTAGTAGTAGTAGTAGTAGTAGTAGTAGCAGAATTATTAGTGGTACAACCATCTTTGGAAGTAGCTGTACTAGTAATACCAAAAGAACTAATAGCCGTGGTAGTATCAGTGGTGGTAATAGTAGTGGTCGTAGTAATAGTAGTGGTGGTGGTATTAGTAGAAGTAGTAGTAGTAGTAGTAGTAGTAGTAGTAATAGTAGTAGTAGTAGTAGTAGTAGTAGTAGTAGTAGTAGTAGTAGTAGTAGTAGTAGTAGTAGTACGAGAATAAATAATATGACAAATATTTGTGATGGTAAGTTTCGTGCAAAAAATAGCAACATTCCAAGACCAATTATTACCACTGGCGTTAATGATAGTCGTATAAGTAACAATAGCCACAAGAACAGTAGCAGTATCAATACTGTTGGTGGTAGTATTAATAGCACTAGTAGTGCGTTTGCAGCATTGAGTCTAGTTGGCCTAATTAGAGATAAATATGCATGAACGAACTTGTCCACGTCGTAGTGCAGTCCGAGGGATTGGTCAAAATAGCAGATGTGGTCGATGAGGGAAATTTCTTCGTGGCGGCCCCTTTCTCTCCATTCCCAACTGCAAGTGGCCGCCTAAAAATTTGATTTTATTTAAAGTACTTTTGGTAGTATTACACCTAGCCGGGGTAGGAGAGGTCGCGCAGTACCATTAGTAACCATAGTAGGAAGTCCAGCAGTAATGGTAGTAGAAGTAACATTGATGGTCGCAGTAGTCATGGCGTTAGTAGTATTAGTAGTAGTAGTCGTAGAAGTAGTAGTAGTAGTAGTATTGATAGTACTGGCGGTAATTTTAGTAATAGCAGAATTGTTAGTGGTGTAAGCATCTGTGAAAGTAGCTGTACTAGTAATACCAAAAGAACTAGAAGCAGTACAATTGCCAGAAGTCGTAATAGTAAAGGGATTAGTAGTAGTTTTAGTACGGGGATGAACATTATGAAAAATATTTGTGGTGGGAAGTTTAATGCAAGCAATAGCAACATTATCAGACCAACTATTACTATCGGTTTTGAGCATAGGCGTATAAGTAACAGTAGAAACAGGAAGAGTAGTAGTATTAATAGTAGTAGTAGTAGTAGTAGCAGTAGTAGTAGTAGTAGTAACAGCACTGGAAGCAGCACTAGTAGTAGAGGTAAGAGGTATAAAATTATATCTGCAGTAACAGCAAGATAAAATTTTTCCAGTGGAAAATAACACGGAAATGATCAATTAGTAGGTGTTTTGACAGATTTGCATAATTCAACTGACACATTTGTGGAAAACTCGGCGGCCTTGCTCAAATTCAAACCCACGATAGAAAGGGCAGAGCTTAAGTGCAGCCAAAATCCTATTCACTTGCGATACGTGACCCCGGCGCAAATGTGGCTCAACTCATGGTTTGCGGTCGGGACCTCATGGCTCAGATGCTTAGAGTGTTGGCTACACACAAGCCTTGTCCTTGCTGTCGTGGGTTCTAAACACATCGAGGCCGCAAGTTTTCGACAGTTAGGGCAAAGTAATTATTCAAATCTTCCAAAACACCCATCGATTAATCACTCAGATGTCCTTTCCCACTAAAAAGTATTTTTCTGTTCCTTAGCACGACTGAACCCCAATTTCTTCGTACACTACCATGGAATTTGTAATGAAATTCGAATGTCATTTGGAGAGTTTGCCTGTTTTATTCTTAGTTTTCCAAACGGAAGGCGAGATTATTACGCGCACTGTAAGTTGAAAGTAGAAAGACCAAGAATTTCTTCATAGTCTCGATTGAAATTAACGTGTCACCAAAACATATGTGCGGAAATGACGGGGTATCTCAACTGGTACTTGGAGGGAAAGAATGAATTAACGTAGGTTTCCGTATGGCTTATAAATACCTTTTCATTTAAAATTATTCTTCTCAAAAAGCCGATGTTTCACTTATTCGGAGGTTTCGGGGATCCAGTTAGTCAGCCGAAGTCTACCGCTGAAATGGGCGTTCTCTCACTAACTTGCTCGTTTTCACATCAGACGTGATTTTGCTACTGAGCGGACATCAGACCGTCACAGACTGTATTAAAGTTGATTGAGGCATGCCAAGTAAACGTATGATCCCAACTGGTTTGGGTTTCACTCGGTCTCATCGTGTCCACCCGATAGCTTGCTACTGGCGCCAACGGACGCTGTGCCATAGGACACATACCACCCATGATACGTAGACAGCTCACTAAGAGCGTAACAGGCCAGACGCAGACAGCTGTTTCACAGTTGTCACCGATCACCAGTGCGTCATAGTCCATACAAAGTGAGATCTATGACGTACTGATGATCGGCCACAACCGTGAAACGTCTGTCTGCGTCTGGCCTGTCTCAGCCTTAGCGAGCTACTTACGTATGATTGAGACACGCGACGCTTGTTGAATCCTTGCTTCCGGTTGTGATAGCAGACTTGTGCGGCATTTATCGCGCCCTCTCCTCCCCCACAATCCTGGGCCCGCTGACGTCTGACTGATTCAAGACAGTCGGAGATGGGATCGGACAGAGTAGCTGACAAACATAGACGGCCCGTCTACGCGGACCATGCACCTTCTGGTCCATGTGCAATGAACCGGACTAATCAGTAAGGGATGGTTCGGTTCCCATCTGAGTGGGATGGGGTCATAAAGTTCGTGCTAAAAATGAGGCATTACAACCTCGGGTTGTCCTTCCAGTTAGCAGCCATCCAAACTACGACTTTTAGCGCATCATGGCAGTTTCAAAGTACACCGGATTTACTATTAGTGGGGAATGCGCCGAAGTGCCGTAGAAATGGAGTCCCCAGAGTTGGCCTCAGTCTATATTTGCTCCTCCGTGCACCAGTGCATTCTCCGAGGCTCTCACTCTTGTGGTTTGGCTGGCTGATAGACCTGTAGCGGACAGCCATCGTGATCGGTCTGGCGCCATTGTTCAAGACCTCGCTGCCTCAAGGTCATTCACCTCTTTGCAGTGAGCCGTTCCAGATGCGCTGACCTGAAGTCACAGAATTCCCGCTCGATTTCGCCCTGCTGTTTTTCCTGTGTCACTCATGATGTCCATAGATAGGAAAACACTGTTGGCGACACCCTGTCGCGATTCGAGATGCATGTTGTTTACAAAGCTCATTCATACAAGTCCAGGTCAAACCTCAATCAAACTTTGCAGATTAGATCTTCAAATGTATTGCATTCTGAATGCCTCACTTTTGTCTAAGACATTCTTCCACCCGTTATCGACGAGACCATCATTCCTGAGTTACTTTCATACACTCAACATGCCACCGTATATACAGCGATGAATTTTCACACTTTCGACACTTCATTCTCCCTCAATTTTGTGTCTGAATGACAGTGAGCCTATTTCACTGACTCATTCGTCCGACTCAGCACTCACTGGGGTACCTTCTGCCCGAAACGTTCTTCCGTCTCTTGCCAACGTGCCAACACACCGGCAGCCAGCACACCCATGGTTGATGCCTCAACTGCACCTCTGTGCAGGTCGTAGCGTCAACATCGTACGCGATCCGAGCTACTCCTGTCATCATCGACACGCTCTCAAACCCGCATGCGCACGGGATAATTTCACACATTTCATCTTCTGCCTCACGATCGACACCATCACTCTGTTCTGTGTCTGGCGGGTAGTTGTAGCGGGCAGCCATCATAACCGGTCTGGCGTCATTGTTCAAGACCTCGCTGCCCCAAGGTCATTCACCCCTTTGCAGTGAGCCGTTCCAGACGCGCTGACCTGAAGTAACACGACCGACAGCTCGGGCATACCTGCGTCCGCACAGCCGCAGCTGTCCATGCGGCCACTTGAACGTACCTCCCCCTGCAACCACAACAGCTACTAGGACACCACCGCTCGTCAAATGCAACACACGCCAATTGGAGACCACTTGAGCTTGGCCCACGAGCGTACAAAAGCGGCTGCCACCACTGTCCCAGGGGACTCTCAGGCCTGACCGGACGAAGTCAACAACAGTCCCGGCTTCGCTAGTGACCACTGCCGCTTGAGAGGACAACTCCGGGTTCTGTGCACAATAAACCCCTCATTCCGGTGCCTTCCATCTTATCCTTCCAACATGGGGTTTGGCTTGATAAAAGTAGCTCGCAGACTACACACATTCTCACTGATGTGCCGCTACAGACCTACGATAGTTCGCCTGCGTGCGCCACACACCCTGGTGACCACTTGCTTGAGAGATGCATGTTTTGTAAA